AAACTGAAATAATATGGGCATATGTTTAAAAAGATGAGACTTCTCTCTTCAGAATGAAAAGTATGTCATGTCAGGTCATTGTTTTGTCTCCTTTTGTCCTTATGCATCCTCCTCAAGTAGCAATCTAACATATCTGGCTTGTTTTTTTAGAGGGACCTCTTGAGAGTATTTGTTCTCTAACTGTGTTGCCTGAATGCAACTGTCTCTGACTGAACACAAGTTACATGTGGGTTGTTCTAGAGCCAGTTCACCCTATTATTTTGTTTGGCAAGGGGAGATGTTGGAAAACTATTGCTTCCACATATTGTTAATCCTGTAGTAAAATGTCCAATTTTCTTATGTCTAGCAGTGGGGCGTCAGGAAGCCATTCCTTTCCCAGTGGGATTTTCTAGTGGGATTGTAATTCCATTTATTTTAGGGAAATAAGATCCACTGCTGATAAAGTAATAGTTTCCTTCTGTTGAAGTAGACTGTAAAAATTTGGCAGAACTTCTTCCCAGCAGACAGGAACGTAACATGTGAAAATACATAATTTAAAAAAATTTGGCATGCCTGACTCTCACCTGTATCCGAAGTATAGTATATATCCTATGTATAATTACAAAGACATGCATAACATTGCTGCCCTTGAAGCATGCTCTTGCCAAAAGAACAAACAAAACTTCCAAGACTTAAAGTCAGCCCGGACATTTTGATTTTGAATTATTGTTCTGGCCAGATTTATTTTTTTTCCTGAGTTTAAGTGTATCAAACTTTTGTGGCAGTGAGCCAGGAAGAGTGCATTTCATGAATAGCAGTGTGATTAAAGCCAGCACAGCTTCCTCTTCTATGTTACAGGCTGTGATCATTTCAGTGACAGGAATGTCCTTGGGTGGAGCATGCCATCCGGCCATTTGTGTGGTTCCCCTGGGTGAGAGCACAGAATTTCCCCCAGTGTGGGTAGTCACTCACATCTGTAAAAATAGGAGGAAATAAATGCTTGTTTATTGGGATTTTAAAATAAATTTATTAGCTATGCACTTGCAGTAATTTGTTTCAAGTTTAATTAATTTGTTTTAACTTTAGCTATCTTAATAGAATTGAATGATTTTGCTTTGCAAGAACCTTTGCTTACTTGATGCTAAATCCAGGTCAAATTAGGAATAAGTAGCCTGAGTGTTACACACACTGCCATCCTCTTCATTCTGTTACTATGCATCATTATTTTTGCATTGTGATTGGGTAGAGGAAGTTGATATACACAACTGGTTTTTAATCTAAGCTGTGGTCTTCATAGAGCCTGATGAAGCCTATTTGTTAAAAGATCCATTTGAAGTAGATTCCTTTAGTTCATACCTAAGTTTATGCAGTAAATGTTGGAGAGGCCCTGCCAAGAGGAGGTGGTTTGTTCATTTTCCACTGTTGATTATTGAAGTCCAGTTTGCATTTTCTAGAACATTTTCAGATGCAGCTCTAGAGCTCTGTCTAGTGTTCATTACCAATGCTTACTCCTCACCTGAGGAGCAGAAATAACATCTCCCCATCTGCCCAGCTGGCAATCTGCTGCTTTATTAATATCTGCTGCAGACAGGGTTATAGGGCATCCTGTTGCAGTTCCCAGTGGGAACGTTTATCTGCCTTAGAAAAGAAATGGGATCTCCCTACTTTACATTAGCTGTTGAATAATAAGGGGAGGAAAAAGTTTGGATGTTCTTTGTGGTTTAAATCTCACTCTGGTTTAAGCATGAAAGGCTTCACAACTAATTTTCAAATGTTCAGAAAACTTTTCCCTCAATTACTTGCATGTAACTATCCCAACAATATTTTTGTGTGTACAAGTGTGACCTTAGCAGCAGGTGCTTGAAAAATTCTTGTGCACGGAAAAAAATCCTTATCTTTTCTGAGGCTTTATTCTGAGAAGTATAAATATTTGTTTTTGAAAGAGTGCTGCTTAAAAAAAATTTATCGGCTCTTGGAAGGTATATGTGCTCAAATGAACATGCTTTTCAGTGCTACATTTCAAAATGTAGTGCTACAGAAACAGAAATATCATCCATAGTTCTGTCTTTGGGGTTTTTTTCCTCTATGGAGTAAGCCTACTGATAAAATAGAGATAACTGAAAAGTACAACAAAAGTAACAAACATATGGTGCTTTATACAGGCACAAGTTTTTACATATATATATATATATATATATATATGAACAACTTGCCAGACAAGAGATGATACGCATTTTTGGGTTTTCTAATTCATGCTATTTAAGAAGAGTACAGAATAAAATTCTTCAGAGTCTTCTCTGGTAAAAGCTGAGTAACAATTCTAGGATAATCATTCCATACTGCTTTGTTTTTTCCATGGTAATATATTTTCACAGCAGAGCATTTGTTCCAGAATAAATACATGCAGTTAGAATTGACTGAGAGTAATTTGACCAGCCAATGCATCTACACATGCAAATGTCCAAACGTTGGTGAGTGCTGAAGTTAGTGTGCAGTTTTTTTTAAATGCAGGGTCACCTTTAACTCATTTATGACTATCAGTATAAAAGATGCTAGCTCATATAATCATAATATTGTTTTGTACTTGCAGCTTGGAGATGCAAAAAGGAAATGTTTGATTGTATTTGTCAGCAATAGAAAATAATCTGCTGTTGATCAGCTTTGTCCTTCTCATGCAGTCACAAGGACAGGGCATCTGTAGGCCACATTTTAGAACTCTGCAGGCTATGCTTGGTCTTTGGGCTGCATGTTGAGCAATCCTCACTTAAAACCTACAAAGCAATTACCTACAACATGCTCGAAGATGAGACCTTCCAATCTTGTAAGATTATTTGATGTCTGCTGGTTGCACTCTTAAAACACAATCACATCATTCCATTCATCTAAAAAACCACCATAACTGCATTTATCGTATTTGATCATTGACCCATGAGAATTCTGCTTCATGCTCTTCAACCTGCTTCATAAAAAGGACAACTCTGGAAACCAGCACTTCTTATCTTGTGTAAATAACTGTGAATGTGCAGTGTGTTAAAGCACAACAACAGTAAGTGGGCACAGATAGGAACATGTGTTGACCATTTAGGAGAGAAAAGGTATTGATTTGCTTCTTTGTGTGCCCAATATCTTTGTGTAAAAGAGCAGGTGGCTATAAACACAGATGTAGGTGTACGTGTGTCTGTAGCTATAGTTAGGTTTTTTTTGAGAGAGTGTTCCTGTTGGGGTTATTGGAAAACCAACTGTGTATAAAGCCTTTCTGCTTTAATCTTTTATGCACCACACTTGGGTTTATGTGGGTTATTCTCTCTATGCATTCACTGTGCACATCCAAGGAATGCCTTTCCCAAGTAGAAATGTCATATTTGTAAATGGTGAGGGAGGGTGTTTATGTATTTAATTGTTTTTAAATGCATCAGTAGTTCCATAGAGATTGTCAGTTTAGGATTCTACAGGGCTTTTTTTATAGGATGCTGCTTTTTCTTTGTATGTCTTTCTGTTATTGTGATATTAACAAGAGAAAATGCTTTTGAAAAACTGGTAGTTAGTCATTATTAGACATTGTTATTAACCAGATCCTGTCCCTATCAGCTTTTGCTGTTACAAAATATGTTTTCTTACATGGAGTTGAAAGAGTGCCTTCTCCCAAGAGTGCACTTCAGCTACAGTTAAGAGCAATCACGTTGGTTCGGCTGCAGTTCTTTTTTCTCTCCACATCTTCAGCCACTTGTTCCCATTTTCCCCCCTGCATTGATTCTCACAGTAAAGCAATTCAGAAGACTAAAGTGACAGAAATCTAACCAAGAGAATAAATGCGCCTCCTGCTTTTGCAGAAAAATTCTGAAGTGAATACTTTGCACTTAAATATTTTGGTACTGAATGTTATTTTTTATCTCTGTAGATCTATGCAGATTTACAGTATGTAACTTAGGAAGAGTGGTGCACATTTGCATTTAGGTTTCAAACTTTTCATGGCTATGTCTTATGAGAATATTTTTGTACTTAGTACAGCTTTAAAGGAAGAATATTCATCGTACAGCTTCAAAAAGTGCTGACCTAAGTCAGGAAATATTGATAAGTTTGAGCATTGAACCATACATATATAATCTTCTTTGTATGTTTGCATTAGAAATAAAATCTTAAATTCTTCAGTTAGATTGATCTTATGTCACATCTCTGTTATGTCTGATCCTCTTGTCTGTGTATCCTATGCAAGTCTGTGTTGCGTGTGGCTGCTGGACTGAAAATGTTACCTGACGCCCTTTGTAAATTAAAGGCCTGTAAATTCCAGCCTACTCATTTTTATTACCTGAGTAGTCAGTGAAAAGGAGGAGGCACCTCAAAAAAGCAGTCTGGTCCCACATATCTTGGACACCTGTCTTTGAGAGACAGGAAGTGCCCTCTGACGGCAGCCCTGTCTGTCTGTTGCCATAAAAGACAGTTGTGTGTTGGATCAGATGGGATAGAGTTAGGTGAGGTGAGCTGGAGAGTTAATGATCTATTAGTTCAGTTACAGGGGGAAAGATAAAATTGTTTTCCTAGAGCAAAAGGAGAGAGAACCACTAAAAACATGAATAACATATGGCTGTAAAAAATAATGAAGTGGGGAGGAAGGGAGTTGAAAACATGTAATAGCTAAGACTGCTTTTAGTTTTTGTTCAGAAATGCATTGTTTAAGATGTCATTGAAAGAAACTGTCGATCCTATTATTTCCAAATACTCTGATGCAAAAGATATTTTCTTTTTGAGTTTTAGGATGTTGCTAATTCAAGGTTGACAACATGGGAATAATCTACATAAGCATTTGCCTATTTTACTCTAATTTCTAACTTTGCAACTGATCCCTTGAATTCTGTTTCTTACACACACTGTGGTGGCAGAGGAAGTGAAGCATCTGCTTAGTAACCAAAGGCAAACTATGGTTTAGACTGCTCTAACTGTGAGTTACAGGCAAAGAAGCAATTTTAGTTGTCAATGGGTTTCAGCAGAGGTCTCTTTAAATAATTTATTTTTCTCCTATAAAGAAACAACACAAATAGAAGATCCCAGGAAACAATGGCGGCAAGAACAAGAGAGGATGTTAAAAGATTACCTTACAATAGCCCAGGATGCTCTCAGTACCCAGAAGGAGCTGTACCAGGTGAAGGAGCAGAGACTGGCACTTGCACTGGATGAGTATGTGCGGCTGAATGGTGCCTACAAAGAAAAATCAAGCTCTCGTACAAGCTGTAAGTACAGTAAAGAATACAATGTAACTCCTTTGATCTCTGCCTTCCAGGGGATCCTGTTTCACTTTAGGATAAGTTTTCAAGGTTTGCTAGGAGCGCCTTGTACTCTGGCCTTTTTAGAGTGAGCATCCCTACATTATTTATTTATTAATTTATTTAAGATAAATATATTCTGCTGGAGAGAATTCTCTTCTCTCTGATACGACTGAATTCCTTTGAGCTATGATTTAGAGCAGTTGGCTCTGAAATGTATTTTGTCATGCAGTTTGTTGAGACAAAATTTTGCCAAATCTACGTTCAAGGTGAGGAGGATCTCTTGCCTTCTTGGCTGCCTGCTGAAATGACCCTTCAGTGTTGACAAGTGGCTGCAATAGACCAAGAAGGGAATGTGTTGATTATTTATAGGAAGAGCAGACAGTAATTTTGTGACCAGTGTGCTGTGACCAGGTGGAGTATAGATACAGGCTGTTGTCCTGGGCAGGGAATCAACATCTGGAAAAGCAGTATCAGAGGCCTGTTATTGGCCAAACAACACCTATGTTAGCAGTAGTGTATGCAAGGAGCAGGTACATCTGTGGAAGAACTGAGTACCAAATCTCTGAGACTTCTGAATAAATCTTCTGCTTTCCTGAGATCTCATTAGAAATTACAACTTTCAGGAAGAAAGTGATTGCAAGGTGGCTCAGCTAGAAGAATGGGAACAGGGACCAGAAAATAGGATGTCAGGGAGAATGAGTTCTACTTAAGGATCCTGGGATAAGTAAAGGAGGAGAGATACCATATAGTGGTGGAAGGAAAAAGGGGAAAATTTTGATTATTCAGTAGTTATTGCCATACTGCAATGATGACTTGCTCTATAAAAGGCTAACTTTTAAAGCATTCTATGTTTTTGAGCACATTGTAGGGTTTTGATCAGTGTCGATTCATCAAGGAAGGGACTAATTAGTGATCTAAAAGTACTTAAATATTTGTCTTTTTAATATTTTTTAAAAAAGTGTTTTCAGGCTCTTCATCAAGCACAAAGTATGACCCTGACATTCTGAAGGCTGAAATCTCCACTACAAGATTAAGGGTGAGAGTCCTTAATTCATGTTCATTTGGATTCTGTCTGCCAAGTTTATGATTATAGAATAAGCATAGCTTGAACTAGCAGATGTATCTTGTACCCTGGTACTGAAACCTCCTAATATTCTAATTAGATACCATTCAGAGGTTTAAAATTAATTTTTAAAGCTGTCTCTGGTGCTGTCAGATAACACTTTCTTGGGCAACTTTGACAGATATTCTAATTAGATGTAGGTTTAAATAAATATGGTAATTATTTTCAATTGTATGCCTTTGTTTTCTAAAGGAAGAGTAAAAATAGAAAAGAGTAGGCTAAGGTGAGCTGCAGCTAGATGACTGTTTTTACACAATCTTTCTTCTGTGAGAAATGCATCATTAGCTGCTTGAACTGCCTCAGAAGTTTCTGTTGGTTTGAAAAATACTTTTCAATAATGGTGCGAAACCCCTCTATTTTGTCAAAATGAAGCAGTTCAGATCAAGGATGAAAGTCTGTGTTTAGATTTTGAAATTGTTAATGAACACAAATCCATGCTTTGGTCAGCTGTGTTCAGTACAGTCAGTAACAAACTCTGTAGAAAGAACTTTAATTCACAGGTTAGTCCCTAGTGAATTTATCTTTAATAGGGAAGAAATGGTGTGCAAGACTTTTAAAATATCTATGGGGATTTCATTTATTTCAGCTGTGGCATATAATGCTTTATGGATAGCCTAAACTTTCTGTAATTAGTAATAAAAAAAAAATACATCAAAGTCTGCATTTTAAAAAGATAGCACCTCACAGCACAGTTCTTCCATGTGGGCAGAAATACAGACTCCAGGGGAGCAGAAGCAGCACAAGTGACAGCATTTACTCAGCTCTTCCTTTGCCCTCTCCTGGTTTGTGCACAGAGCAGCCCTCATAGAAACCCCAGAGAGTAACATCCTCCTTCACCTGCAGTAAGAGTTGTGATTAGGAATCTAAACAATTTATGTCTGAAAGGAACTGTGCTCATTAAACTTTTAAAACCTAGTATAAATGATGTGTGATGGAATGCACTCTAAAACTCATGTTGCCCTCCTGACTACACCTGTTTATCCTTACCAATCTCAATTTGTAGTCCTTATCCATTAAGGCAAAGGGATGGTGATCAGTAAGGGAACTTATTCAAATGCTGGAGGTGGGAAGAAAAATTTTGTAAGCTTAGTAGGGGGAATCAAAGGCAGTAAGGACCTTATCAGGAACAAGAAAGAAGAAACAAGGCAATAGCTTCTTTCTAAAATGAGTGGAGCAGTAACAGATGTTTCCTTTGGCAAGGCAAGTACCAGTATATTTAGGAAATGGACAGTGTTGTTGAAGAACTAAAGGTGACAAAATTTAAATATAGTCATCTTCTTGTCAAGAGGGCAAAATTCAGGCATGGTCCTGTGCTCAGTTTTTCCCCTTAGCATTGACTGCAGATCTACAAATTGCTAACCAAGGTGAGAGTCAGATATGTTTATCACTTTTTGGAGGTGCTTTCCTCTCTTCACTGTTTCTTGGAGTCAAGGAGCCTAATACCCTGCTGGTTCCTGATTTATTGGCATTGCATAGTCCTGCATATGTGCCTAAAATAGGTGACCTGCATCTTGTCTGCAGAGTTTAGAAGGGTGCAGTCCAAGAGTATCTGTATCAGCATAAAGTGTGTGGTCATCCAAAGCCACTGGATATGAAAATTGAGATAAGAAAAAGTGGAACCCTGTGATGCTAGGGCTGGAAAGTGGTTGTCATGGAAGATGGCAAGAGAGGTATGGCTGTTACCACAGTTTACCCTTATTTGAATGTTGGAAGATGCTTGCTAATAAGCCAGCTTTGGGCATTTTGCAGTATATGCATGCATGGACTTAATGAGAAACAAAGTCATTAGTAAGCTGCCAGCCAGCTACTTAGATTTTGCACTTTGTTAGATCAGTTTTACTAAACCTATTTCTTTGTCTGACAATATCTGAGGCTTACTGGGATCATCAGGTTAATGGTGGCTGGAGGGGGAAACAGCATTGGAGGAAGTTCTGAATTGGCCTTTGGCCTTTTCCTTGTGTGTAATAGACATGTGTGGAGCCTTCTGGATACATGAACTGCCTGTTGTGCAATAGGTCATGGAGAAAATATAACAGAAATCAGAGACCTGTTAAATGAAATAAGAAGGAGAAGAAACATTTTTCTCACCAGACTAAGACTGAGGGATCACATCCTGCATTAGACTTTTTGAGTGGGGCCATTTGGGGTCTTAATTAGCAATCAGCAAGACAACTCAAACAGCACAAAGCATATGTGATCACAGTAAGTTTTATGCACATGCAGCAAGTGAGTAGGAAATGCACCTTTATAAAATAACAAGGGGTGGAGGGGCTGGGGAATGCAGCCATGTTGTTCCTGTAGGACTTGAATGCTGGGAATGGAAGGGGGTTAGCATGGAAGCCTGCTTGAAGATGTGGTTAGGAGTAGGAAAGAGAGATCTGTCAGGTGACTGAGGATGATGTGCAGAAGCAATAGGAAGAGGGTGAGTGTTAAAACAAGTGAAGAGTTATGAAAAAGCAGAAATTACATGAAAGTTTTGAAGGAGAAGACAAGGAGCCTAAGAATAGTTTAATGCAGGGATGATGCAGTAAACACAGAGGCTATATTACGATGTAGGTCACATCCTTCTAGGATAATGCACCCAACTCACATTTCCTGATAATGAAATGATGATGAAGTACAGCAAAGGACACTCAGAAGATGATCTTGAGGAAAAATGTAAGAGTTTATGAGAGATGCAATCCTCTGAGTTGAAATCAAGTATGCCTTCTGTTATTAATATAAATACATGTTTCTGATTTTGAAAGGGAAAGGTTTAGCTATTCTGTATTTTTCAGAAAAATTCAGACTTGTTTCATATTTTACACATCACTTTAGCTGGAACACAGAGGTGATATCTGTTCATTTTCCTTAACCTTGATCAGAACACTTGAGAAATTATTCTTAGAGTTTTCACACTAGTCAAGGAGAAAATAGCCAAGCAGCACTGAATGTATATTGAAGAAATTGTCTATTTGTCATGCTAACTATTCAGTATGGTCAAAATAAAAACAGTTTTCTGTCAAGTAAAGCAACTAGTGATGATAGTATGATAGTTTCCAAAAGCCTGAACATAACCCCTCATCCAGAGAACGGATTTCGCTTTGAAGAAAATGGAGATTAAAAGCATTTTATATCTGTCACAGAAAATACATTAGCTAGAAACTGCAAGCTGAAATGTCTAAGTATCATTCACAACCCCCTACAAAGACTGAGTAAATCACTAGTTATTTTAGAAATGTAAAGGATTTTAAGTCTCTTGTTGAACTGCAGAAGATGCTGATGCTGAGTACTTTTAGTTACCTGGCATACTGGGAATCATACTTTTTTTTTTTTTTTAATTCTTTTAAATTATTTTTATTTGAAGAATATCAGCAAGTAGGAAGTCTAAGGGGATATGGATACAAAATGTCTTGGAGGCATATTTTGAAATTAATTTCAGTTAAAGTGGTCTAATTTCATGATATTAGTATAATACATTTTTCAAGAGTTGAACATTTGAGTAGCTTATAAAAACAAGCAAGAATTTTACAGAGGTAGATGACAGAAGTGGACTTTTAGCTTTTCCTTTTTTCACCTTAATGATTGGAAAATTAGAAAGCCTAACAATATCTGTATGTAGTATGATAACAATATCTGGCTAGTATGTAGAGTGCAAACGAGCCAGCTGTAGATGTATAAATGCCAAAATCTTGGACTCCACATTTGAAGTAGGCATTTGTCTCTATGGGTGTGTTGATGATAAATTTGTGTTTAAGTACATTCATTTTTAGGTGGTTCCTAAAACTTTGTTTCATACATTTGGGAAATACAACATTGAAAATTAAATGGAGGATTTTTAAATTTAATCTTGATTCATAAATATTTTGTAAATATTAATCTTGATTAATCTTAAATTTAATCTTGATTCATAAATATTTCTGCTGACATCTCAAATAGCAGTATTAAGGGTAAGAAGCAATTGACCATGCAGATTTAAGGAGAGTAGGGAATATTTTTCCCAAGACATTTTTATTAAATAGACACTTATATTTGTGATTCACATTCTTTAGTGATTGTTGTCTTTGGATTAAGTAAGTGTGAATTATATATTTAGGGATCCAGTGTCTGTAAAGCTTTAAAAGAATAGATAGTTCCTAGGGAAAAAAAGAGTCCATTTTGTCTTTTACAGTGCAAATGACTGAACAGCTTACAGGAATTATAAAGTGAAAATATAATAAAACTAAAAGTAAACAGGCATGTCCCTGTAGGACAGTTGGAATGCATGCTTAACAAGTGAGAAGTAAATTACTTGTTAAAGTTCTCTCAGGTTTAATAACACAGTGTGGTATCAATACAAATAAGGAATGTGATTTAATCTGCTTGTGTCCCTTTAATACTAAAGCATGTTGCCCATAGACATCAGGAAGAGATAAGATCCTTTTTTTTTTTAATGTGTGTCAGTAGAGCAATTTACTCTTCTTCTCTCATCTGATGTAGTGCATACTTTAATTGTTTAAAGCCATGTGTTACATCGTTTAACAAGAGGAATTTTCTAACTCTTGCTTTGATTTAACACACAAGGTTAAGAAGCTGAAGAGAGAACTCTCTCAGATGAAGCAAGAGCTGCTGTACAAGGAGCAGGGCTTTGAAACACTGCAACAGTGAGTAAATGAAAATAGTAGAAACTGACGTAATTCAGTCACCGGGTTTCTTTTCTTTGGCATGGAATTGAATCTGTTTTATCTGAGAGAATTATTGTGGAGAAAAAGGAGAATCTAATATCTCTGTTAGGAAATGGGAAATCTGTGGAAATGGCAGCCCTTTAGTGCAAGTGTTAACATAAGAAATTTGTCTCCCCTCTTTTTTTTTTTTTTTTCATGGGGTAGCTTGTGTTGCAAAGAGGGCAGTGGTCAGGGGACCCAAGGACAAAATTAGCTGCTTTCTGTGTCAGATTTAAGTTTTTTTTTTTAATTTTTGAAAAGGTACTTAGGTCATGCTTTCCTCTTTCCCCACCTATGAGCTCAAAAGAAAGAGAAGGGTGCTGCTCTTGGAGGTACAAATGGTACACAACTCTGCAGGGCTGGAAATTAGTCACAATTTGAGGATTAGAGACCTGCCTTTCTTTGTTCCAGTTGCTGGGATGCCTGGTGTCCAAAGGGCTGATGCTGAACCGGGTGAGCTTTCTGGGTATTTAACCAGTTAGATTACTAGGGAATTAATTTTTTCAGTCTAAGAACTCCCTGCTGCTCCTGCCTTACAACATTAGGCCCTAAAATACTAAATATTACTGGAACTGTCACCATAAAGAACTTGCTGCGCAGGAAACCTTGCTAACGAGAGTGTTTTCTTGAGTAAAGTGAAGAGGAATTTATTAATGCTAGCTGTTTTCCACATTGTACCCATACGTTAAGGATACATTTCCACAGTAAAATGCTGAGCTGCTTGGCCTTAGTACACTAGTTCCAGTAGCAGAAGCAATCCTCAGCACATTAGGAAGATGCCAGTTAAGTCTCTATCCTCCTTCATTTTGACTAAAACAGAAATGTAAGATTTGTCTGTTACTTAAATATACACAGACCAGCAAGGATAGTTGATTGAATTTAACCATGAATCAGATCTCATTTGTAGTAAAATTTAAAAGAAGAAAGACATATTGATTCTAAAGCTTAAGGTAATAAAAACTCATGCTGCTGTCCCAGGATTAAAGGTTAGCCAATCATGCTGGTTTTATTATATTAATTCAACAATGAAGTATTGTTTTAAAGCAGCTTGCTCACAAGCCATTTTGATAGGAATCCAAAGCATGTTTCAGAAACTGTCAACAGCATTCCACAGAAACACAATGGACATTTGTTTTTAAAATTCAGTCAGCCACTTTCAAACAGTACTAATCCCATTAATTTAAAACAGGATGATGGAATATCTTCTATATCAGAGATCCTTCTTGTCTATCTTAATTATATACAGAATAAAGCAGTAGAAATTTGAATGTGGCATGTCATATTACCAGACAGCATGTGGTGTATTACCCAACCGTTCATTCATGATCCCAATTGTTGGTGTATCCTGTATCTATTTGACCTTAGCAACCTGGTAAGTTACCAAAAATTGAGAGTTGTCACACACTAAGTGCCTGCCTATGAAAGAGTTCGAGGAACTTTCAAGCTAAAATAAATATGTCCTTGAATAGGAATGATTACCAAGTCACAGAGGTAATTTCCTTACACAAATGCAGTTTAGTTTTCTCAAAAACTGGAATGTAGGAAAGGAGAACAGACATGCTCACAGCTTTACAGACTACTCTAGAACTTTGATATTTTTGTGGCTAAAACTTTAAGAAAAATAGAATACAGTTACAGGTGTTTTGTGCAAGTTGCTGTTCTTGCTGGGGATGCTCATGATCTCACTCCTGGTTTGTTCACTCCTCACTGACAAGGCTGTTAACTTCCAGCAAAGATGATGGATGATGATAAAAAACAGAAAACCAATTGTATTATACAAGAATTTATTCTCTAGTAAATGCTTGATTTTTATCAAGATGGCTGTTGGTTGGTTTTAATTTTTGAAGCACAGCTGCAGTCATTTTCATGATGCTATGAAATACTCTGTTAAACTAGAGACCAGAGAAATGTGTTTACAAACTGTAGTTCTTGAAGGAAATACTAAAATGAATCATCTTTTTATCTCTAAGTTTAGGGTAGCCTTTTATTACTTTCAGGTTTCAGTTTCTAAAATCATTGGTAGTTCAGGCATTTAAGTTCAGGAATTGTCCAATCTATGACATATGGTATTAATTATCCAGAGATTTTGTGAATAAAGAGAGCCTGGTGACTGGCTGAGCAGAACAGCTGTTCCAGACAGTTAATGCCCAGGATTAGAGTGAACTAGAGGGAAGCTGAGACAAGAATGGTGCTGGTTATGTTTCTGCTCAGAAAGGCTGATTAGTACCAAGAAGCCAGCCTGTCTGCCTGTGTCCCATTGTGGGTTTGGGTGGAAGGAGACTACTTGAAATAAATTCTGCTTCTGTAAGGAGCACAAACTGTTATTAGTATGAAAGGTGTATCCAAAACCTGCTTTATGCTGCAGGCAGTTATGGTGGGAATGGGAATTTTGACAGTATTGTCAGCAATAACTCTGTGCTCCTTGACATGTTTGCCAAGGATTAAATTGTATTTGAATGGAGATTTCAATGTCATTTTTCCTTTCTGTGGCTGTTGAAAGAAACGGTATCTCACCTCCTTCCCTTCTGTTCTCTAACTCTGCTTCTGCCTGAAGTAGAACAGCAGAGACATTAGTATGATTTTCTCTATCTGCCATTATTATTCTGTCTTCCCACAGAATTGACCAAAAAATGTCTGGAGGCCAGAGTGGGTATGAGCTGTGTGAGGCCAAAGCCATCCTGAAGGAGCTGAAGTCCATCCGAAAGGCGATCACTTCAGGCGAGAGAGAAAAACAAGATTTAATGAAGGTATTTTGGTTGGTTAATGGAAGTTTTGTGTGGATTTGTTTTAACATGACTCACTTCCCTGATGATAAATACTTCACATTTTATACTTTTAAGGGATTCTCAAAACTCTTTGGGCCAAACTAGTATTAAAATGAAGTTTCAGATGCAGAAACTGGAGCCTGTGACATTCCTAGTTCAAAAACTGCTCTGTGTCAGAGAATATAGATTTTTTTGGAACTTGAATTAAGGTACAATGCATATGTTACCTCTAAAGTACAATTTAGAATATTAAGTGGACAAAATTGATATATTCTGAGATGCCTGACCATTTTGTAAATCAATGAAAGTTTTCCTAAAATAAATTGTCCTATTTCCATATTTGAAAACAGATTTCCTTTTAGTTTTTTTTTTCTTTTCAGCAAAACTCATAATTGCTTGACAAATTAAAAAACACAAAGTCCCAAAACAGACACAAACCCAAATGAGTAGCTTTTACATTTTTACAGATGTTGGTCATCCTTAGTGTCACCTATGAATGGCTTGATTAAAAGGATGGGTTGCTTAATTTGAAATAAACCCAAAATTTTTATCGTGGAGTCTTTTATGTAAATATCTTTTGGAGATAAACTGGTATAAACCTGGTAAAGTGCAAAGGAACTTTAATGCCACTTTCTTTCTCTGATTTCTGGACAGAGTCTTGCAAAGCTGAGGGAAAAATTCAATATTGACCAAACCACTGAAACATCTGAACCAGACTTGAGTTCCAGCTCTGTAAACTCACAGCTGTGTTTTCCTAGACAAACTCTGGATACAGGGTCTCAGACTGACATTTCTGGTGAGGTGAGCTTTTTTCATTTTGTCCAGTGTAAAGAGAAGTTGAAGAAGAATGCTACTGTTAATGGAATTGGAATCAAATGGCTGTTCACTGCTGCAGATAGCAAATATATGTGTACTTGTTTCACAGAATTACTTAGAATCACTCACGCTAGAATTACTCTTCTGTTTTTTTGCCCTTGAATTTTAAATCAAGATTCAGATAAACTTTATACATCTGTCACAAAGCATTTATGAAAATCTGATTTAGTCAAATAGTACCAGTACAGTGAAGATCAGGAGAGGTGCATAGTATTTTTTTTTTATTTATCTATAGGATATGTTTCACCTTACAGACCTATTAAATATGAAGATGAATTTTTTTTTTTAATTTTCAGGAAAAAGATCTCAGAATTTAAATACACAATTTCATTTCACACAGCTGAAAAACTGTTCATGGAACTACTTAGTGATTAGTGTTCAGTGATTTAGTAAAACCTTATTTCACTGATATTATATTTTATATACACAGAAGGCTGTTTATTTTTGATACCTTCTTTGACATTCTGCAAGCTAAGGTTGTAAGAAAGAGAGTGTACAAGGTTTTCCAGACAAAGAGCTTGTCTGTGTTTTGTAACAAATTCATTAAAGTCTAACTTTGAAACGGACTGACATAGTTCTAAATTCTGAGTTCAACAGAATTCATAGTAGATCAGAATTTTCAGTGCAGTCGCTGCAAGAATTCTTTGAAAAGTAAGAAAGTAAATTCTTTGAAAAGTGAAAGTAAATTCTTTGAAAAGTAAAAGCTCTGGCTTTACTGTGATGGAATATCAGCACTTGATGGTACAGTAGCTAAAAATGTATGAAGTGGCTCAGAAGAAAACAGCTTTTGTACAGCTGAGTAGATGAGAACTAGGCATTTAACAGCAAGTGTGGGGCTGGCTGCAGGGGCAGGGTGGTGGTTTTATTTTTCTTTAACTTGTAATTTTTCTAGCCTCTGCCTGGGTTTAGTTGGTTCGTTTAAAACCTTTGCACGGTAACGAGGCTACTTTTTTTGTTTGGTTGGTTTTGTTCCCTCAACAGATCGGAGCAAGAAATAGATCGAATTTAGCAGAGAAGGTCAGACTCAGTCTGCAGTACGAAGAGGCCAAGCGAAGGTAACGGGGGCGGTGGGAGCGTGCGGGGCCGGGAGGCGCCCGGTGCCCGGGAAGCTGCGGGCGCCCGCGGGGCAGGGAAGCTGCCGGTGCCGGGGAAACTCCTGCTGCCCGGGAAGCTGCCGGTGCCGGGGAAACTCCTGCTGCCCGGGAAGCTGCCGGTGCTCGCGGGGCAGGGAAGCTGCCGGTGCCCGGGAAGCTCCTGCTGCCCGGGAAGCTGATGCTGCCCGGGAAGCTGCTGCTGCCCGGGAAGCTGCCGGTGCCCGCGGCTCCAAGGCCGGGCTCGCAGCGACATCCAGCGGGCGGCACCGCTGCGCGCCCTGCCGGGGACTGCAGCGCTCGGGAACGCTGCGGCTGTTCCTTAGTGCTAAACTGGATGTGTTGTGAAACGAAATTAAAACGCTGACAAATTACTGGCTGTTCCAGGATTAAGGGAATAGAGTGAGCTGGCTTTCTGAGGAAAGCAGTCACCAGGTTATTTATGTCCATTATATCCTTCTTCAGGATCATAATTTCACTTTACTATACCACTGAAGGCTCATCATTTTTAGAGTTGCTTCAGACTTCCAGTGCAGATTTAGTAGGCTTAATTATTTCTTTTTTCCCTTGGGACTTTAGGTAATTTAAAAACTTGTTATCACTATGGGTTGGCTTTTTATTCCATTAGTTTAATTTGGGGAGAAAAGAAGTCAGGAACTGCTCTGCTGATGAATGTGGAATGCCTTTCAAATAAAGTTCTGTGGTGCTTGCCCGTGGAAGTGGTGCCATCTTGATGAATTGCCACAGCACTGAAAAATGAGCATCAGGAAGCAGAACATTCAGGGTTTGAATGACATCTTCTGGTGCACCAGAAGTGCTGCAAAATACTGGGGCAAGATTTACCACTGGGATAGTACTCTTGTGTGGTATTATTTTCTAATACTTGTCAGCAAATTATTTGTCAGCTATTCAGAAACCTTACTGCTTTTTTTCTGGAGGTTCTTTGTAATTTAAGGGAAATAGAAATCTAAGCACTATTCCAAACCCAAAGTTTTGGGTTTTTTTAAACTATGAAGAACTAAACAAAGCAACAAAGTTAAAAAATAGTGTTCTTCCCCAGATGAAAACTGTGCCTATAATGCCATTTAATCTGAGATTTAAATATTATTTTAGTTGGAAAACTGTGGCATGATCATTAAAAAAACTACAAAAATAAATCTGCAAGTTAAAAGTACCAAGTAACAGCTCAGTTGTTTTTAAGTTTTAAAGGCAGGAGAGTCTGCATGAGTATTTTTTTGCCTAATTTCAAATGTATACTTCCTCCTACAGGGTAGTAGCTCCCATCCTTACCAGTAAAAACAGTAATCCTTTATCATGGATCATAAAACCTCATTGTATAATCAGCGCATTCATCAGAGAACACCAAGGCTATTGTGCTTGTTCAATATTGAACGTGTATGATTTTGGCTCAGAATCATCATGTACATAATGTTAATTGTCAGGTGGTCACTTAGATGGAGATAGATGCTTTGTTTCTCAGGCATAATTGATCCCCAACCTGATCACCCTATGTTCTGGCTGTGTCTTGATACCAAGAAGTCCCAGCATTGCATTTTATCTTTCTTTTGTAGGAACAAAAAGCTTCCTTGAAGGAAGTCAGTTTGCCACTTCTGTCTTGGGGTGTGGGGGAAAAGAGAAAAAAGGACCAGTACAGTGCTCAGAGTGTGGAGTACTGCAGCACAGGATCTTTCTTTCTCACAAATTACTTACCCAAGAACATGGGTTAAAATTTCAATGTATGTAACTTGGAATTATGAAGATACATACCAGTTTGCACATGAAGTTCAGTACCTAATTATACCCCTCCTCCAACTATTGTGGCCAGTGTAACCATCACTGTCATTTAATAAGTGTTGACCATCTTCTCTGAAATACTAAATGTGCAAATTCTCAATTATTTTGTGGTAAAATAGCTAAGATGAAGAGAGGATCTTGTAAGTGAATATCTCTACTTGAAAATTATCAGATAATTTTGTAGATTGCTGATTTGATATTGCTTAGCCATCAGAATGTCTTGAAGAGATGGAGTGTTCATAGCTATGCTGAATTCAGTTGCAATGGTTATTCAAAAGGAACTGACACAGCATGCTGACAATCCTCTCCTGATGTAGTGAAGATCTGGCTAATATTCCTTTTTGGCTTGTTGTGGCATCCCACCCTTAAGGGGAAAGGAGCACCCAAGATTCATAGATGCCCATGGTGGAAAAGGAATGACAAAAATCAAAGAGTCAGCAAAAACTTAGGAACTTGTATTAGTAAATTATACACACAGCCTGGAAATTGGGATGTCAGTCCCTGACCTCCTAGTATAAACAAGTGGTGATGGATTTTGAATAGGGGGTAGGATGAAATTGGAAAGGGAGAGAAAAGAAGAAATACAGCAAGGAAACAAACAAACATCACCAGCCCTGGCCCCAGCATCAATCCATCTGATGGGGTGTCCAAGGTCCTGGGGCGCCTGTGGGGGTACCTGTTTATAGCCAGGCTTGCCCTGCCCTGGAGTTACATTTCTCACATTCTATGCAAATTAGCTATCATGAGCAGTGTGTTCTTCCAGACCTTTCTGGAAATGGGTTGAGGGCTTCAGGAGCTTTGGTGGTCTTGATCCCCCCCTACTGCAATGGGAACAGCAGTGGCACGAGCTCAAACTGTTCATCTCTTTTCTCTTTAGGTAGCTACTGTTGTATTGCCTTTTCCTTTAATTGCATAGAAGAGCAATGCTTTTGTTTTAAGACTTGCTGCAGTGAGCACCTTGCTGTGGTGCACATTCTTTCACCATGGCCATGTCTGTTTCTGAGGAGCCCTCAGCCTCCCGCAGCGTAGAAGAAATCCATCATACTCGTGAATGAGTAAAGCATGGTGCCACTGCTATGTTAGCAGACAGATTGCTTTCAATAAAGCTTTTAATAACATTGTGACTTCTACTTGAACTGCAATAGGAGCAACTAATTTTTAATGCATATGCATGTGGCCTGATTCTCTAGCATAGTCTGTTCTTGTGAAACAAAACTAAAAGTAGGGCCTTGAGAATAAAATGTTGTTATATCCTGATAGGTTTCAAAATATTGTATCACTTCTCTCTTTCCTGGGCTTTGTGTGCTGTGATGGACTCAAGTAAATCTGCTTTGTTTTATTTTAGCATGGCTAATTTGAAGATTGAACTCTCTAAGCTAGATAGTGAAGCCTGGCCTGGAGCACTGGATGTGGAAAAGGAAAAACTGATGTTAATCAATGAAAAAGAAGAGCTTTTAAAGGAGCTTCAGTTTGTTACACCACGCAAACGGACTCAAGACGAGCTAGAGCAGCTAGAAGCAGAAAGGAAGAGGCTTGAGGAAGAGCTGGTGTCTGTGAAAAGCACACCCAGTCAAGCACTTGCTGAAAGGTAAGTGGTTGCTTTTTGCTAATACTAAATGCTGCTTTCTGCAATCTAACCTTTGTACTCATTGCAGACCCTGAACTATGCCTCGATGGGCTATTTTCCTTCAGTGACTGTTCTCAGTAGGTCTTAATTAAATTTGTTATTAGCCCAATGGGCAGAGAAACAAAGAAGTCTTCAGTACTGTGAGAGAATGTGAACACCCTGTATCTGCTCTGCAGTATCAGTTGCTCTGCATTTGTTAGCAGCACGAAAATGCCTGTGACAGATGTTAAATAACTGAGGAATGTCAACACACCAGCGGGAAGGCAATACATCATTCACTCGTTTCTGATAATAGCTGTAAACTGTTTGAACTCAGGTTACAAAGATTATCTTGATTGTTGCAACATCTGAAGCCTTTCATTGTGAGTTTTATTATTCACAAAAATGCAACCAAAAGGGGGAAAATCCCCAAAAGTTCAGATGAGAAGGATAATTGCTGCAAAACTTTCCTAACTTGCTGCTGCCTAACTAGTAAGGGTAGCTACTCTCACAATAAATTGTTTTTAGCTGTATTCAGACTTTGAGAAAATCAAAGCTGACTGTCACAGATGGACTTTTCATCAGCTCTAAGTGGAAATAAATTTAGGGGCACCTCTAGCCCACATAAAATGCAATAAACACAAAATGTCATTGTGTGTATCAGTGTAGTATGCCTTACTGAAGTAATACTATCAGCATTGTGTGGCTTTCTTACTTCCCTCTACTAGGAAACACCTGCTGTTGCTCCAGTGTGCTGTATGGCCAAATTCCTATTATAGGATTAGAAGCTGAGTCCTAAATTCTAGCTCAGTAACAAGGAAGTTTTTTGCTTACAAAGTACAAATGTGTGTTTTATGCAATATTTTTTAAAACATTTTTATGCTTAATAATAGTTTAAATTGCACTATATTAATAATCCAAATATGTTTTAGAAGAGGGGAACTATATTTTCACAGGAGAAGCTGCCTGTCTAAGGTAAATTGAATCTAAGATTTTGATAATATGCTGTTGTATAGCTAAATCTTGACTCAAGCTATAAATAGATGGCTGGTGTCTGAATTTTGTGGTTGGGATTTGCTTTAGCGCAGAGTAAGTTCTGCACCTGACTGTTTTCCCATACATGTAAGGTGCCAAACTTGGAGTACCAAGGCCAAGTAAAATTGTCCCCCATTGTCAAGAAGAAATGAATTTTCCATGTGTAGTGACAAAATGAGTTGTTAGAGCTTCCTTTTTCCCCCTCTCTTTTCCTCAAACTTTTTTCCTTTGATTTTTAATCCTGAAAATATGGAGTGTTTGGGCTTTATTTCCTGAAGTTAATGTACGGTATGTTGTGCTCTGCTGATTGAGGTAGCACTTATAGTGGCTTCTGGGTTGCTTTTTGTTATTCCAGCGAATCTCCAGTGAATTTCTATCTTCGACTGTTTATATTAAAACTGTCTCCTTTGGTGACTTCAGAGCACATAAATTCTTTCACATGAGGCTATTTTGAGGATTATTTCTGGTTTGTCTACTATAAACATAAAGTGAATCTTCTTTTTCAGAAGGATTCAGATGATGAAACTTTTTCTAAAATGCTAATTTTAAAAGAATACATTTAATTGTGCCAGATCAATCAGCAGGATTTTGTTTCTCGGAGATGAGGGAGATTCTCCTCTCCGTTCTCAGTGGAGGAGCCATGCTATCTTCAAAATATTGTGCTATTGTTGCATTATCATTTTCTTCTCTGAGGTTTCATGAATGCCTTCAGTTTGCAGTGTGTTCACACTGGTAATTATAATGAAGCAGCAGCATAAGAAGCTGTGGTTTGTGCCAGAGCTTAATGCAATGAGGGTTCTTTCATTTGGTTTAGTGGTTTGGGTTTTTTTTTATTTCTAAAGGGAAAAGAAACAGGAGATGTGCTTTGACTTAAAACAAAAACATTATAGCATAGCCCTGGGTTATTTTAGTGCAGGATGCTGAAATTGCCACTAGTAGATGTACATGGATTCAATTTACAGAAGGAGGGTGTAGATCATAACATATCAACTTCAAAAAGGCAGAGACTGGGCATACTCTGGCTGCTTTAAGAAGCCTTAAAGCAACTGTGTAGAAATAACTGCATTGTGAAACTGTTGAGAACTACTTGCTACTTTTTTGCCTCTGAGTTCCATTATTGCTTTAATCCTTGGCAGTATCTCCCAAGTAAACACAGCCATTTGAACAGGTCCATGATTTAAATACTTGATTGTGCTGTTGCCTGCAAAACGGGCACCTGCTCTTGTGCCTGTCACAAACGTGTCCACCTAAGTCTGCATTGAAAGACTTTACCTTTTTTATGTATTTTGTTTAAAGATTCACTGCACCTCTCAGCAATGTTACAATCTAAGATCAAAAGAGAAAGATGTCTCACTAACACTCAAGTCCCTCCTGCAAGGAGGAACAGATTAATTTAAATAGAAGTAGTACAAACAAGAGAGACAGAGAGAGGCCTGTGTCAGAACAGATTACACAATGGTTGTTTAGGTGTTTACACAGGGGTTTGTGGATATTATAGTTCCTGCTTGTGCTATAAAGAGGGAAGGTTCATTGTCTGAAAGTTTTGGAGGTGGGGTTGTTGGGTTTTTTTTCCATTTTGTTGGATGTAGGATGAAAAAACTTTACCTGAATCTCAATTTGTTGTGAGATCATAAAATTACTTCCTGCATTTCCTCAAACTTTCACAAGTGATTCATCACTTGGCTTGTGTTTGAGATTTGTGACTAGCATCTTTCTGACATTAGCCTGCAGGTATTAACAATTGTATTTAATTACTAGTAGATCAAATTACTTCCAGGAAAGAAATTTTTTTCAGGTGCTAAATTATAAGGGATAAATTATGTTCATCAACCTCCTTAAGATGGTAACAGAAAACAAACTGTTAATTGTGCTTTTGAGACAAAAACCAATGAAACCTTTTAGTTCAGTAGTACAAATTCAGTTGCTATAGTGTCTCTCTCAAGGTGGCTTTTTTTGAGGACTTCATTCAGAGCAATTCCTAAGCTTTTATTTTTTTTCCCATCTTCTGCCATTAGTAGTTGAACACAGAGCAATTTCTATGCCTCTTCCTTGAGGAAAAAATTATAGCTCACTACTGAAAAGCCACAAAAGAGCTAGTGAAGAGCACTCTTGCTTGGGAAAAGCAGGATAGATTAGGCTTTACAATAAGACAGAAAGCATCAATAAATAGTAAAATTATTGGAAAGAGTGTCTGATACTATAGATGAACATAATTCCTGGTGTGGAAACCTGTGTGCATGTCTTCCACAGAATGAAATACTGTGTATGCTTTTAACAGCCTTAGCAGGTATTGGCAGATGAGCACACCACTGCAGTGTGAGAGCACTGTGGCGTGGGCAGTGGAGTGGAAGTCACACCCTGGCTGACCTCGGGGTAACTTATTCACCTTTACATAACCCAGATTTGCTCGCTGAATAAGCATGGGTGTAAGCAAGTGCTCTTCATGCTTTGCTGAATCAGGGACTTAATGTACTTTGCTGGTATCTGATGTTCAAAGGGAGTGAATTCTGAGCACTCTTGAGTATCTAATTAAGTTAATTCACTTTGTGTAAGAAAGCAATGGTTGATGTTTCTTGTTTCTCAGATTAGTAGCTGGAGAGCTTGCGATGTATCAGTTGACTGAGCAAGGCCTAGAGGAGAATATAGTAATCCAAAACTACAGGAGGATTTTAGCTGAATCCACTGAAAGCAAGCAATTTATTTAGTGTAAATGGAGTGATAAAAGGGAATTAAAAGAGGGGGGGAAATCACTCTAAAGGTTAGTGAATCATTTCTCCTATCCAAGAGGAATAGGAAAGTTCCCCATTTTGTGGCTTTACAGCTGTTCTAGATAACAAAGCAGGAGGCAATAAATCCTGCCTTCTCATAAAGGTGAACTTGATGATGGGCATTACTATGCTGTGTGGCTCTGAGGTGCTGACAAAGCTATTGGGAATGTAGAGATCTCTACCAAGGACTCCTAAATATGGTCTATAATCTCAGAACCTTTTACTGAATGCTGCTTTGATTTGCTATGCTTTATCTCTATGTAAATATTCTGAAATTAAAGGGAGTGCTTTGATTTTAAACTTCAAATTATCAAAACTAATACTGGTATTACTGGTGTTCTTTTGGTTTTCCTGGTTTTGTTGGTTGGTTGTTTTTTTTCCCCTGGAACTATATTAAGTGAGGAGGGAGTCTGCAGTATGGCTTTTAAAAACTGCATGAGTGCAGATCTTATTATCCTGCAGTTGCAGCTATTTTCCCAGTGCTCATTTGTTACTCTTTTATTGGGTGCATGTTCCCCTTGGTACAGTGTGAATGTCCCAACCCTGTGCTTGCTTGTACACTCAGCAGGTTTGTTAGAGTGCTTGGTATTCTGCAGGTAAAGTCACTCTGCTGAAGCAGTTGGGGTTTTATGATCAGACCGAGAGCTAACACAGTATTTTGGATTTTAGTCACTGGCAACCTGATAAAAAAATGAGGGATCTTCACTTTGTTTCTTTTTTATCTATAAAACGTTCTAGCCTATTCTGTAATGCTTTCCTGAACTAATATGTACATATTTTTGCAGATTAAAATTGGAGGAGAGAAGAAAAGAGTTGGTACAGAAACTTGAAGAAACTACAAAGTTAACTACCTATTTGCATTCACAACTTAGGAGGTGAGACTGTACTGCATGATGTAAAACCTGTTTTGTAGTAGATCTGGATGTCTCAACTTCATTCTTAGGTTTATCTCTTAGCTGGAAGATCAGCAAAATATATTAAAGTAAAAAAATGCAAATGTAATAGCTTCAAGTGTTTTGTCACCATGCAAACCTGGTGTGCTTTTATAATTTCAGCAAATTTTCTAAGTTGATAGTTCTGTTATCGTTTAGTAAATATATTTTAAGTGTTTAGAAGGGCCTGCTTGAATTACTTTTCCTGACATTTTTTCCCAGCAGTCCTCCAGAACCAAGGCAGTAGCACTCAGTTTCTCTGGCCCAGCAGGACTCCCTATCTCCTTTATTAACAGGACAAGATTGCATGTTACAGCCTTTGCCATAATTTACATAGTTAGATTTACTGTGCACGTGGAGTGCGTGTTGTCACGCAGATGGGAAGCAGTTCTGCTATAAATTGTCTATCTGGCATCTTTCCCAGGTGCTTGGGCATAGGGTGGGCTGCATGACTTGCTCTAGAGGTGGCAACACTCCTCTGCTGTCATAGGCTCCATCCTGGGTATCCCTGTGCTGTCACATTGACCACACGAGCCCCACACCAGTGTGGAGCAGGTTTCCAATGGGATATAACAGCTGAGAAGGCTGTTGTTACTGCCAGACTACAAATCTGCAGCCTTCTGCAGAAGAAAAGAGGTTTAGGCAGGTGGCCAAAGGCTAGGTAAATTGCCCTGGTAGTGTGCAGGTTGGGCACACTGAGCTAAGCCAGGTATAGATGCCTAAAAAACATAATGCCCCAAGCAGCCTTTGGTTGTAATCTGTTACAAGGCAGATTCAGTCAAGCTTCCCTCTTTTTATTCTGTTTTGTGCTGGTTTAGTTTAGTAACATCAGCATGTGTTTGTGCTTTGTTTGCAGCCTCTCAGCCAGTACATTATCTGTGTCTTCAGGGAGCAGTTTGGGATCCCTGGCGTCCAGCCGGGGATCTCTGAACACATCGAGTAGAGGCTCGCTGAACTCGCTCAGCTCCACGGACCTCTACTATAACCAAGGCGAGCAAATTACAGATTTGGACTATCAGTACAAACTTGATTTCATGTTGCAAGAAAAAACTGGTTACATTCCTTCGGGGCCTATCACTACTATTCATGAAAATGAAGTGGTCAGTTCCCATGGGAGACTCGGTTACAGTGACTCTCCTTCAGCTGCAGACCATCCCAAATTGACTAAACCTCCCAAATCTGTGACATCACTGTCTTCCAGATCCTCTCTCTCCTCCTTGTCCCCACCAGGGTCCCCTTTGGTTTTAGAAGCTGCATTTTCAGTGTCAGCTCAAAACTCCCCTCTGCATCACCTCACTACGGACTTCGAAGACTCTGACCTTTCAGGTGATTTTGCAGGCATTAGCTTCTGCGAGAACCAAATATTACTGGACTCTGAAGCCAGAGCAGGATCTCAGACTCCTACAGATGATAAAGGTCTAAACATTAGGCAGCCTCTGCCTTCCCTACACGAAGGAAGTTCAGGTAATTAAAAAAAAAATCTAATGTCAAATGTATGTACAACATGAAAATTAACAGCTGGTTCTTGAAATGAGGAGGTACCTTGTGTAACTGAAGAGTATCTTGATCACCACGCACTTGCATGTTCTGAGGGATGTTACCTAACTTATAGTTTTGGCTGCAGAGAGCTGCAATCACCCTGATTCTGTCCATATTTTACCATAGCTGTTTTAGAAAGTAAGTTCATATATTGCAATCTGTCCTGAAAACAGTAACACAAAAAGCTGAAGCTGGATTTTGAAAGCATGGAGGATGCATGCTGTTCCTAGGTTTTATCAGGATGTGTGGATATAGAGCAAACACCCTCTGCTGGTGTTTTCATAACTTGAAATCAGGTACTTTTTTGGTACTTTCTCATTGAAGAGTAAGTTACAAAGTGACATCCTCAGTAAAAGAGACTTCTGGACTGTAAATTATGTGTTATGTGTATCTAATTGTTTGAGCCTGCTGTCACTGAAAGATCTATGTTTCATTTTGAATTGAGAAAGACAGGTGACTACATTACAGTGAGAGTTTCCCCATTTTTAACATAAATTTCACAGCTTTTGGCTTTTAATCCAAGTTAGAACAGAGCTCCTAAGTGAGTCTAGGATCCCCTTGCAGTCTGTGGGTAACTTGCAAAAGAATGAGACATCTTGTCCTAAAGCATACTTCCCTTTAAGGAAGAAGGGATGAATGACTGTGAGTTATCAAGGTATCCTTAGTTACTAGTTAATTAGGTGTGATTAATTCCACTTCTGGTCTGTATCAAAAGCCATACAGCATACTTAATCATCTTATATTGTCAAAACCTTTGGCAGAGCCAGAATTTCAAAAATCCCAGCTGTCAAGATGGCTCGTGCTCAGTCTTGGAGTGCTCTCTTTGCTGCCTTTTGTTCAGGCTGACAGTATGTTGTGCTCTCTCTGCACATTTATTCTTTTCTAGTGTCATTCTGTGTCATTGTCTTCGAGTATGTTGCAAACCATTCATGTTTATGTTACACTCTGTTTTCTCAAGGAAGAACTGAGTGAGACAGATTTCCAGTAGTGCTGAGCACTGGCAGCCCTATTTGAAACCTGGTCAGTACCTGGAATTTCCAATTGTATTTCTGAGCTGGTAGGGAAGCAGCTAACTAAGGAGTTTGGTGTTTTAGAGAATAAACATGGCCTAGCTCTTGAGCATTGTCCAGATTTATTACCAAGTTTGAACCCTTGTGCTTGGAGTTTTTAAATTTATAATAAAAGTACCATGTCACATTCATACAGTTATATATTTTAATGAAAAATTTGCTGTTATTTTTTTAATTCTCTCAAGGAACTGTTGTAACATCTCTTGTCTAATTAGATTAGCTTACTGCAGTACTGTGGTAATTTCAAAGTTGGCCAGAGCAATGTGGCATCAGAAGAGAAAGGTATGGTGTGCTTAGTACAAGCTGGGAGGCCCCACTCTGTTTCACTGTGCAAAAAGAAAACAAGAAATTGACTGATGTCCTAATGGTCTGAACCTGTAAAATGCAAAGTTGAAAAAGCATGGAAAGGGAATCTGGGGGGAGGGGGTCTTTTTGTCCTTTGTCTTTATAGGATAGTGTAGCACAGTAGTTATTTTACTTTAGAGCCATATTATAAAAGATTGAAACAATAATTAATTTTCCTGCCTGTATTTCAGCAGCATATCCTTTCCAAATTAACAACAACTTTCAGTCTGTCTTTGCAATCTGTCTGCAGCTCAAATAGTTGGAGAACTGAATTCAAAATGGCTTGGAATTTGGGAACACTTTGGCCTATGTAAAATCAGAAATTTAAAAAAAATATATTTCTATAGGTCATTATTTTCAAAGGCATTATGTTGTTCTCTAACATTTTTTCACTTTTTGAGGACCTCTTATTCTGGATATTGTCTGCTTGCCTTTTAAGTCTATATAAGTAGTTATGGTTTTAAAATGTAAATTCATTCAGTGATTCTTCATACTGATACTTCCCCATGTAGCACCATATGCATAATACAGTTTGTCTTTAAACTTGTATTAAAGCTGCCAAAACAAGTATTTGAATTTTGAATAGCCAGGTATTAACTAATTACACTTCAATTACCAGGTATTAACTAATTACACTTCATTTTACTGTGGAAACCTCTGGTTTCCACAGTAAAATGGGCATCATGGTGAGACTTCAGTAATTAACAGTGAGACACAGATCTGGGGTTTGTTCAGTGTTTCTATTCCAGTTTCATCCTTGAAACTGCTGTGATGCTGAATGGGAAGGTTTGAACAAACTCAGCCAGAGGCACTAAACTTGCATTCAGAATTTCAGCCCACAGACTTAGGTTTTTACAGGACTACAAATATGAATACTGCTGAATCTTAACTTGGGCATAGACAAAGACTCAAAGGTAGTACAGCTCCTATTGTCATGTAATCTGCAGTGTTCATCTGCTTCTCTGGCTGTCTCTGACTTTTCTGTACAGGTGAACCATAGAGATATTTGCTCCTCTGCGCATGTCCCTGCTGTCAGTAACCAAGTTGGAATATCTTGTAGTTCTTCCACAGTCACTCTCTGTCATTGTCAAAGTCAATTCAGGCTGCCGTGGTAATTCCTAAGGGTAATCAATAAATCATGTCATCACCTTCACCCCTCACATGGCGAGGGGGAAGGAAAGAGCACTTCATCATCAAGGAAAAAGCATTCCTACTGCCATAAATAAAAGCACAAATGCAGCAATCAATCATCTAATCTAGAGCCTGAAATTTTAACATCTTAACAGGATGTAAAGTCATGATTCAGATGGGGATGATAATGCATACCAATATCCTCACCCCTGGCAGATAAAAGGACTGCATAGGCCCTCAGCTTGCTGTGCTGCAGAATGTGGCTTCATGGCATGACACTCACATATGAATGCAAGTTGAAGATTAAAGCTAAGTAGTCATTGAAAGGCTGTAGCAGAGAAAGTTTTTGATGATAGTAAACCAGAGGGGATTTTATTTCCAGCAGTTATATCACTGGGGAGATGATGTCTGTCAGACTTTTGAATATTTAATAAACAGTAGGCAAGCACTTGGCATGTAGCTGCAGTGTTACCACAGTGCTGAATGTGAACATGGCAAATACTGGTTTAAAGATCAGGAAAATGAGGGCTTATAATGAAGGATAATAACTAGCTCAGTGCATAAGGGTGATGATAGGAGTCTGCATCTCTGGGAAGAAGTAATAGTATATTTTCAAGTTCATCAGTCTGGTTATATCTGTAGCCAGAATATGTAGCAACAGCAGTACAGTCTCAGAATGTTTAATGATATGGAACAAAACTACTCTGTGATACTCAGCTAAGGGTCACCGCTTTCAATGTGACAACTTCCTAAGCTATGCTCATCTCTCTTTCTGACTATTCATCTCTTGGACTAGTTTTCATTCTTTTTCCTTTTTGTAGGTGGTGATTTACCAAGAAGAACAGCTGGTCATCTGCTTGAGGAGAAGACAGCTTGTGTTTCTGCTGCTGTGTCTGATGAGTCTGTAGCTGGAGATAGTGGTGTATATGAAGCTTCTGTGAAACAGTAGGTTTGAGAAATCATGCAAGTCTTTCCACCAAATATTTAAATATATCTATGATCAGTTACACAGAAGTTGTTAACCAGCCCTGCCTTTTTTAGAAATAATTTGTATTTTCAGATGGAAAGGAAGGCATATTTGCCAAACAATGAAGTTTGATCTGAGGGTTATTTTTTGTGCTTGTATAACTTGGTTGAATTGCATTAATATACTTCTTTATAATCTTGGGGTTTTTTCCTTGCTAGAAGTGTTCCCAAGAGAAAAGCTTGATTTAAACTATGCAGGTTCTGCCATGTGACTCTATTGTCAATACTCAGAGTTATTGTTTTTACTTCTTGGTTTGTTAAGGATTTTTAAGATTGCATAGCAATTTTTTGGAATGTTTTTATTTTTAAAAAGAGGTTATAGAAAAGACATTAAAAAACTCTGTTGTAATGTTGGTATTAAAATAATCCAGGTTGAGGCTTAATGTTCACTGCAGTGATCAGGATATAAGAAATATATTTGCTGTTATTTTTTGACCAGACAACTTCTATAGGATTTTTCATATTAGTTTATATAGTATTGCCTGTAATCTTCAGTAATCAGCCTCAGGCCTTTCTGAATCATTGCTGCAGTTGTCAAACTATTCCAGCAGCAACTGCCCCTAAGACAAGTACTGTTGTTGTGTAGGCTCTGAAATCCTTATTTGGAGGGCATGCTGTAATTAAATCAGCATGTTTAGGAGAATGGATATATGTTCTGTGTATGCATATTTAATAATTGCTGAAAGCTAACTATAATTTTCCAAAATTTGAGTATTTGCCTGGTTTTCCTAGACCAAATGAAACTGAGGACACTGTATATAGTGAAGATGATGCAACAACTCTAGAGGCTGCTCAGGTACAAATAGGACTCAGGTGAGTGACCAGCAAGGGGAATATTTCTGTTGATCCATAAGTGTGAATAGTAAACTTCCCTTGTGTTGTCCTTTTTTTAACAGATATGACCACAGCAATTCAAGTTTTGTGATAATCATAGTGCGGCTTAGAAACCTTCCAGCATTTCCTGTCCCCCTTGGCTCTAAGATGTAAGTCAATCACTGAGAAGTAGTGTTGAGATATGAGTATAATAATAAATTCTAAAAATTCTCTAAAGGAATTGGTTGATTTATGGCTTAAAAGCACTGAAGTATATACAAAACTTTTCAAACTGTTGTAGTATTTAGCATTGTAGTAGTTATGTAATATTTAGTATTTGCATATTCCAGCAATGCTGCAAGAATAAGATGCTATCAGGAAATTTGCACATTCCACTAAACTGGAGAAAAAAGGATTTTAAAATGGTGTTTTTTCTACTGCTTCTAAACACTCCAGCTTTGTGAGTGCAAAACAGCTATGCCATAGTTGCTAAAACCATTCTTTTGATACTTTGGCGTCCTTTCAGCTCCGAATGTTGTCCTTTTGCATTTATGTGTCTTTTTGATGTAAAATGGTATTTAAAGCAGTATTTGTCCTTTAAGTGAGCTTTTAAAGGAAAGGGGTAATTTAATAAATTGCAAGAGGACAAGCACAGTCACATTGAGATACACCATCCCTAACAACTAGAGCTTGGGGGTCTGCTAAGAATTAGTTCTTGATTCGAATTGGACCAACAAAGTCTAAAAGTAAATTGCAGTTTGAATCATATGTAGAGAAAAGCCTGAATGTGTTATCACTGAGTTTCTAATCCAAAATTCTCATCTGAATAAATAAGTACAGGTTGCCTTGGGGACACTTGTACTTGAGCAAGCTTTTTGACAGACTGTAAGTTTACTTTAAACTGTTGAAAAGCTTAATAAGATTGGAGTAGGATATAATCAATCCTTGAAAAATTTAGTTTTCTTGCTGGTTCTTTTCCCTTTGTATCCCATTGGCTTAAATTTGATTGGCAGATAAATAGGAAGCCACTGGATATGGAAAGGATGCATTAAGGATAGAGGCCTGGGTGCTTGCTGGATTTTTCTGTTTGTTTTTGTTAATAACAAATGGTTGTTCTACTACTATCCTTCCTTCTTTGAACTAGTCTTTCCTCTGCTGACCTTCCAAGTGCACTAACATTTAGCACAAGAAAACAAAAAAAACATAGAAGAATAAATTGACACAGGTGAGAGGAAAAGTAGATAATGTAGAATGGCAAAAAGATGTTCAATAACATAAAGCTAGGCCAGAGCAGGTATCTTTTCAGGAATTAAAGTGTGAGGTTGTAATTGATAGTCAAGAAGTCCTAACCTGCCGCTGCTAAAAGAGATTTGATGAAATTAAAGCTGCACAAAACAAGGAGGAAGAAGGGGCAGGGTAAAGGCAGGACCTTGCAAATAGAATTTTTCTGCCACTTGCACTTGTGTGCATGTATGTATAATCTGTACAGATTAAAAATTGGGTCTGAAAAAAGATGCTACGTTATAGCTGCATTTCCTAGAACATCAGTTGGATAAATTAGTACTTTAGTGAACCTTTACACATGGAAGAATAGATTTGACATGAGGTGTTACTGATACTGTAAAAACTGCTCACTTTTAGCCCAGGTAGAGCACACTTGAGGGGTTACTGTGTCAGGGTCACTTCTTCATCAGTTGAGAAGTCATAGGTTTGTCACAGTAAAATCTGATTCATTGATTGACTCTTTAAATTTATTAATTAAAATGAAAGTAATCACTCGTATACAACAAAGTGAAAGAACAATTTCTTTCACTTCTTTGTTTACCCTTCATTTGGCCTGATGCCAATAAATTGGCAAACAGTTATTAAAAGAAACTTCTAATGGACCACCTTTTAAACATACTTTTGATACACTTTATCTTCTATTCCTACATCTTTTATAAATGTTTTTAATTGCTTAGTGTATTAAAATGGCTGTTTTCAGTAGACTGCCAATTGCTTACCTACCTGCATGAATACAGCAGCAGCATTACTGGAGTAACAATACGCTACCACTTCACCTCAGGACTGGCATGTCAAAATGCTGAATACCTGCTATCCAGGCTGTACATGTGAACCAAACAACCTAGATTTTGCTCTTTATTCCAAGAAGTTTGGCATAATTGGGAAATAAAGATTATGCCCAAATTTAAGTAAAAAAATCATGTTTCTCACAGACCTAATTTCTTTTGATTTAACTAACGTAAAATTAAGTTTTTAATAAAATTAATGAAACTCTGCACGAAGTCAGAAAATATAATAGTAGTGCTATAAATTTTGAGAGAAAAAGTATTTTCCACAATTATTTACATTGACCTACTCTTTTTTCTTGCTTTAGCCAGCTTCATTGCATTCTATTGTCCAGTGAATGCCATTTATATTTAAAGCCAGTACCAGAAACAGACTAATATATAGGCACAGAAAAGATGTTAAACTATTACTATGCTCATTTGTGTGTATGAGAAACCGTGCAATAGGTAAATAGCACATACAAATTGCATTAAAAATGTCTTTTCTCTGTCAAGCTGCTGCTAAAGTGACACCTGCAAGTTAGCTAGTACAACTTTTATGCACATAATACCCACTCATATTGGTTGTATGAAATGAATGCAGCCTTGTAACAATTTTAAGTTACTCTCTGTGCTTCCATTTAGGCTTGCAAGATGCATTCTTCCAAGTTTCAATTAATATGTTCTAAATTGATCTTAAGCAGCTATGGCCCTAGCTATTTTGTTCCTTGCTTTCCTAAGTTTCCTGCTTTCTTCGGAAATCCTACTTGATTTGCTTCCTTAAAAGATTAAAAGACATCACTGCTTTTCAGTGCTACTTGCATTATTCTAAGAATTTAATTTTTACGTCCACCCCAGTTCTTCTCATTTTTTAAAATTAACATGAAGGGCATGTTTCCTGCCACCTGTGACATGATCTTCTTTGTTTACAGTACTAAACTTGGATAGAGTCAGAAACTGCTTCCACTCTTCCTACTACTACCTTACAGGCACAAAAATTCCTTCTTGGGAAATGTTTCTGCAGGGGAGTTCCTCACTCATCTTTGTCACCTCTTTTCCATTCCACTGATAAAGTTACTGTTCCATTTTGTTGCTATGCAGTCCTTAAATTGATGGGGTGAACTTCTCCCCTGCATCACCAGCTAGTGGCAGTTTAAACAGAGGTAAAGATGTTGTTTTGTTTCTGGCAGGTATATCAGAGTAGCAGTCCTTCCATCCTCCACTGATACCAGCTGTCTGTTCCGCACTAAAGTTCATCCTGCCATGGAAACCATTTTATTCAACGAGATATTCAGAGTGGCCGTTTCTCAAGTGGCACTGCTACAGAAGACACTGAGAGTAGATGTGTGTGCTGTCAGTAGGACTCGTCGGGAAGAATGCTTGGTATGTGGTTTTATTTCTGGTGCTTTTTTGGCATGCATTTGTTTATAGTGTCCCCTCTTATTTTGATGGTCAAGGCTGCTAAAATTCCACAGCACTTGGAGACAAAGTCTGAAGCATAACTTAGTTGTTGCTATAGTACCTAGAATACTGCCTTTCTCTGAAACTCCTGGTACAGAATCTAATCCTGGATGGAAGGTATTTTGATAATTCTAACACAGAATTAATTTAATTTACAGATCAATATTCCATCTTTGCCATTTTATGCATAAACCCTTATAAACTTCAATGCTAGGTTTTAAAGTAAAAACAGAAGAAGAGCCACAGTAAAAAATAATGAGAGCAAGGCCTCATTATCACCATTTGTCACAAAGAACAAACTAAATTACATTTTGGATGTTATTTTAGATTATATGATGGACACCTTTTTGGTCTTTATGATCTGTTGAAATAAAAAAGCATGACATTTATAGATCAGCCCATTGGAAGCTGTCACTTTGAATGTTGTTGTTAATCGTAGTCATCACTGAATCAGTGATGCTTCATTTACTTTCAAATTGCTTTTGCATGGTCTGGTGCAACTCAAGTCTAGTTTTTCACCACGAGAGGGATTTTAGTAGCACAGTGAGATTTTTGCAGTTCCCACACACTGAAGAGATGCTGCAATCTGCTGGGGTTCATTGGCTCTTACTACTGTGAAACAGCTTCACTTTTCAGTAGTTAACTTAATTCCTGGGGAATGTGCTGGCCTTTTTCAGTATGTATGAGTTTTCCCCTGAGGAAAGGGAAGGGCAACAGAACAAAAATGCAACCTCAGGCAGGATACAAAGGTGAAGAAAGGACTCAACAATAACAAAAAACCCCAGTGAAGACAAGAGTTATTCCAAAGATCAAATGAAAGAGTTGGGAGTATCATCCCCAGCAGAATGCCCTGGACAGCATGACCAGAGTCTTGGCAAGAGCTATGTGTGCAGCCCAGCAGCTGTGAAGATAATATGCTTTGCCAAAGAACAAAGGATTTTAATCTCCAAGGCACAGCCCAAACATGAGTACTTCAGAAGTTTTCCCAGAGTACCAACTCAGTGGATGCCAGCGTTTGTCCAAATGAAAGGGTTTCTTAATCTCTTTTACTGGCTTTTCATCTCCTCCTTCCCTGGTTAGAGTAACCAAGGTCATCCATTATTTGCCATATGCATGATTTTTGTGGTGGGACAGTTGAAAAATCATGTGACACTCGCTGTCCCACAAACTGGTGCTGCACAGGGTTTCATGGCTGAATGCATTAGAGCAGGTGTGTGCAGTACTGTGGTATGGTGTGGGATGTGCGTGTGGGGAGACGTTTCTGCAGATTGAAATAAGAGATGGCAGAATTGACATTTCCGTGTACTTACATTTGTCAATTTTAACTGGAAGTAGAGGGAAATAGAAAACTGTACAGTTAGAAAGGGAATTGAGGTTCATGTCAAATTTGTGCTGCCTGTTTTGCATGATGAGTACAGTAGAATGTTTTGTAGAAAACAGAACAAATTTAAATAATTTTTTTCCCTTTTCTTATTTTGTACAGGCTGGGACTCAGATCAGCCTGGCAGATTTATCACTTTCTGATGAGACCTGTACTCTGTGGTACAACCTGTTGCCTTGCAAGCAGAGTCCTGGCAAAAAACCCAAGGAAGAAAATGACGAATACATGTTTCTGTTAAGCAAGCAATCACAGTCACTGGACTCACTGGACTTGGTGAGTGATGAGCTGGCTATTACTGTGATAGCAAGAAAAAAGCCAGAGACTCCAATTGTGCCATTGCATTGTAGTTATTTGAATGTGGGAACTGCCATCCTGAAGGTCCAAGGCCCTGTTTTGCAGGCACTTTTGTCTAGAGTGACTTTGTGTGAGTAGGGCCTTCAGCTGTGATTCTTTTTAGAAAAAATGTTATTGAAGAGCTTCCTTAAGTGTGTAATTTATTTTCATATGCATACATTAAAAATTGCAATTTATTAACTGTTGAATCCGCATACTCAAAGCCATTGCATTGAACATGCTGTTTATGCAAAACATACTAACTCTTCTGGTTAAATCAGCTCTTCTGCTTTAATTCCTTCTTAAGAGAACTGCATAGAAAATGTAACTTTGAAAAGCACCCTTTTTCACCTAAGAACAGTACGATAGGGAAGATGAGAAAATACATTGAAGGATGACAGGAGCATATTTGATTGCATTGTCATTTTAAAACCAATTGTTTTTCATTGAGATTTACTCTGTATAAAAGTAATTATTCAATGTGCTATACACTGACAATTCAAACCCCTTATCCTTGTGATCTGGGGGTCATTGTGTCTGCTGACATCAGGGTGTCAGCTCTTGCAAGAGTTGTCATTTTCCTACCTGTTATGTATCATTCAACTCTGGTTTATTTTTTTTCCTTGTGAGCAGGATGCTGTGTCAGCTCTGCTGGAGAGGACATCTGCTGAGCTGGAAGCAGTAGAACAAGAGCTGGCTGAAGATGAGGAGAAGGAACAAGAGCAAAGGGCCTCTGAGGAAGACTGGTAAAAACACTTTTCCTCCCTCACTCTTCATGCCTGAATGATTCAGCTCATTCTTCCTCTTCTTAGAAAAACAAAAGGGCTGTACTTTTGGAGATCATAGATTCATAGAATGGTATGGGTTAGAAGGGATCTTTAAAGATCATCCAGTCTAATGCTGCTGCCATGGGCAGGGACACCTTCCACTAGATCAGGATGGTCAACACCCCATCCACCCTGGCATTGAAAATTTCCAAGGACAGGACATCTGTGGCTTCTCTGGACACCCTGTTCCAGTGCCTCACCACCACTGGAATTGGAGTAAAGTCTTGTTCTCTTGTATGGTCTATTTATTCACATTCTTGTAGGTTTACAGTCTCTTGGCTGCTCTATGAACTCCTACTGCCAATGCTCCTCCATTCCATGTACATCTTCCTGTGAAACCACCTGGGTTGTGAAGCCACTGGAAGTGTACCATAATTTCAAATGTTATAGTTGCATTAACTGTAACAGGCAAGCTGTTAGATCTGAAAAGAGAACTGCTGTCTGACAAAGTCAGTGTGGGTGTGCTTCCATTGATGAGCTTGTTTTTGAAGAAAATGTGAGCTTTCCCAAGAAACAGATTTCTTGCTAAATTGCTATTTGAGGTCTGTTATTGTTCAATTTCTTAGCTGCAGTGTAGAAGAAAATACATTCTTTACTGGGGGAAAGGGGGGAGTAGCCTTTTGTTTTATGAACTTATAACAAAAGTCCTTCAACATTATTAATGTTACAGCTATTGAATAGAGTGCAGTGCTGTCATAACAACCTTGAAGGTGAACTGTAGTAGTGCTGGGTTTTGCTTAGGGCAGTAATGAAATGTGCCTTCACATGAACTTGGTGGAAGCATTTGGCTGATAGTTGTTTTCCTTCTCAGGAAAATGCATGCCTTAAACATTAGTGCAGGTCTGGGCTTTCTGGTATCTTCCTCTGGTGAGCTTTTTCAGTTTCATAATAAGCCTGGGCCACTTCTGTTCATACAGGCTAGAGATGCTTACAGAGGCCTCTGATGAAATTGTGGATGAAGAGGAAGATGGCATTAAGCTGGAAGTAGAAGGTGACTGTAATGATGACCTGGGGTTACTCATGGATGCACCAGAAATGAATGAAGACAAGAACAGAGAGAACAGTGATGAGGCCCAGGAAAGCCAGCAAGCTGCTGTAATTCTAACACTGGTGAGTATCTTAAAATTCACATTCCTGCAGTATCTTACTATGTCTAAAATCTATTTCTGAGCAATTAATATAGAAGTCTGCTGCATCTATGCATTTACAATTTGATGAGGCCTTTGCTGTAGCACTTGTATGTATGTACATGTACCAAAATTGGTGTGGTCACTTGTGAACTATGAAGAGGACCTTGGACAGACATGCTAAGCAGGACTTGTAAGTCCAGGACAATTAACCAAGACTCTCTATCTTCACTTTTTTTGCTGTTGCATGTGGAGGACATTCAAAATACAAGAGTAGTTCAGTAGCTTCAGCTTGTGCATATTTAAAATATTTCTGCACATCTGTTTCATTGTTTCCTTTTCTTTTTTTCTGATTTGTCTGCTCAACAGGAAAAAACACATGACAAGGGTCAAGATCTTTAAGCCAATGCAGCGATTTCCTTATTTTTTCCCCTAATTTTTGGGCATGAAATACAAGAACTGTCTTAGCAGAAAAAAGGACAAAAGATTAATGAACAGAAAATTCCAAAATGTGTATTAAAACTGTGTATACTTTTGAACAATTGAGGGTACTATTGTATCCACACACTGCATAAAGCAAATTCTAATTCCATGTTCTTGGTAACTGTTGTTTTTGAAATTATATTCCACTTTCCTGAAAGCACTTTTACTAAATGTTTAGTAAACATATCCCTGATGTGGTAGAACACTCTCAGAAATAAAATTTTTAGAATCTTTCTGCATCTTAGTAAAAACATTGTTGCATATTTTAAAATCAAAAGTTCTATAAAATAACTGAAGTAAAAAGACGAAGAGTGACATCTCGTTCCTTCAACTTTGTGACAATATAAAAGTTTAACATCTCAGTGGACTTGCTGGAAACTGTAATTAACTTCCAATTAATGTGGCAAGATGCCAAATGAGCTAAGGCTGTGGTATTAAAAGGACTGACAGTCTGCTGGGTAGCAAGTAAATATAGATCAAAGCCCTAACTCGGCAAGGGGAGATGGCAAGGACGACATGTGAAGGTCAGACACGCACACAAAGTGCTTTGCTAAACCTGGGCTGGGTGGACCCAGACAATGAGTGAAAGACAGCAGTCCCCACTGCAGAGCCAGACACAGCACAGATCTCTGTAGGCCACATGCTCTCAAGGTTGCTGTTGTGCTATTTAGGTCACTGTATTTATCTCCTGCACTGTGGAAATCATGAACCTCATTAAATTACCCAAGCTGAAGAAAAAGCCCCATTGCTCATCAGTAACATTGGATGTCCCAGCTGCTGCAGAGCTTGGTCTAGCCCAGCAGCCAGGATGATTGCAGCATGGAAGTAAGCACAGGCTGTGCCACCCACAGGGATGGAGCCACTTGAGGCTCCCTCTGGCACATGTGGGAAAACTCTAGTAGGCAGCAGGCTGTGCTGAGGGACAGCAGCCAGCAGTGTCTTTTCCCTGGGTTCACAAGGCTGGTGAGGCTCTAGAGATTGCATAAAGCAGTCCTGCTGCTGAGGCTTGGGGATGTATGGCAGTATGTCTGGAAGGACCTGGGCAGTGTAACTTTTCCAGCTGCCCCCTTTCAGTGTGCACAGGCACCATCTCTGGCATGGCAGAACCTTGCCCTTCTGCAAATACCAAACAAAGTAAATATAAATGTGCAATAATCATAATGTCTGCAAATGGCAAAGAAAAACATTACTTGTACTGTGTTTGCATCAAACCTTCTGCCAAGCAGCAAAGCAGCAAAAGCCTTTCTGCAAAAGCTCCAGCTTTACTGGCTACAAAGAGTACCTTCAAAGCCTCTCCACACACTCTTAAGCCTCTTGGGAATTTTGCATTTCTTTACTTAGAATAGCTTCTCTGTAAATGCACAGGGCTTTTTGCCGCTGGTTTTTTTCCATCCACCACAAGGTAATGAGAATGCTTGTGAAGTCTGAAAGCACAGAAACTATGTGGGGGCATGTATCTGGTTATAGTAAGTCTTATGCATTAAATTCCTGTTCACAGGTTGATAAAGAGACTAACACTGAGGAATTGGTTAACGAGAACACAGCAGTCCGGCCCAAGGACAGAGCCAGCTGGAGCTGCAGACAGCGTCCCTTTGTCAGGAACAGCATGATAGTGCGCTCCCAAACCTTCTCTCCAGGCCAGCGGAACCAATACATCTGCAGGGTAAGAGCAGAGGCATTTGGGATGAAGAGCTATTAACCAAAGAGTCATTTAAATTCTTGGGAGTGAAGCATTAATGACACTGAGTCATGTACTGCTTTTCCCTGCAAGAGGCAGAGCCTGTGCTTTCTCTAGAGTCCTTCCCTATCTGAGCTGATGTATAGTAGAATTGACTTTCAGCAGAGTTGCATACTCTTGCAAAACACCTCTGCTAGGGCAAAAATACATCCTATTGGAGAGAAATAACACAGATGCCTGTGCTGGCTCTCTGCAAAAAGTGTTTCCCTGCACGTCAGCAACTCCAGCACTCTCGCAGCAAAACAATTTGTTACAACATGAAATAGAATTCACTGTAAAATGCCATTGCATTACCATATTTTAATAATGCAACCATTTAAGGGTAACAGTGTGGAAAGAGCTCAGTCATCAATTTTAAATCTCGCTTTGTATCTCAACTGGTTTTAAACCTAGGCAGCCCAAATCCTGCTGTAATTGCATCTTTGAAAGATGTGCAAGCGCTGCCTCGGGGCTGGGTTTTAAACATGGCTTTGGCAGCTAAGTTCTCCAGTCTCTCTAGATCTATGGTAGCATGGAAAAAGAAAAAAAGATTTAAATTGTGAGTCTTGCTACTGCTAAACTAACTATGAAAATAATGTGTTACAAGATATAAGCATGAACTCCCAGCTCTATAGATTTTAATCACAGATACCGTTTATTTTGATCTTTAGTTTCTACAGGTTATTCATACAAGTATATTTTTTTAAAAAAAGTAATACCTATGCTTTAATTCCCCAGTTCAGTTAGAGGCATTTGCCTTAATCATTTGGGAATGTTAATGTTCATCACTTCTCTGTGATTCTCACTGGCAAAAAAAAGGAACGTGTTTGAAGATATATCTTTTGAAGTGTCAGAAACAGTTGTTGCCCACTGCTGGGGGCTCCAGAGTGGGCACTGTAGCTGCATCCTAGTTCACAAAGAAGGCTGGAGAGCTGGGGTGTCCCCAGTCCCAGTCCCCAGCTTGTACCACAGGCATATCCAGCCTTCCTTGCATTATGATGCTGTAGGGGAGGAAAGCGCCTGTTGGATACACTCTGGTGAAGTGCCAGCTCCTCTCTAATCAGAAGAGATAGCCTGGCTTTAAGAGAGCACCTCTGATGTTACAGAAAACAGAGATCTTTGAGGCCTAATGGCCAGAACTAAAGTCTGTTGATGCTTTGGAAAATGTCCCTTGAAAAGTGCGTAAAGAACATCAGTGGCGATGGCCGCTTCTCTGTATCAAGGAGTGAGCTCCCAGTAATGGCTCATGGTGAAAAGACAGATTTGTCTCTCAAGAGGTGTACTGTCTATTGCAAGTGGTTGTATTTCTGACCCCAGCTCCCAATCAGCCTTGTGTAAGCACACTTTAGGGCCCTGCCTTTGCTTACTGAAATGTTAGCAGAAGGATTCCTTTTCTTGTCCTCTCCTGAAGAGTTGAAATACATATTCTGCAGAGGGATGCTTCTGACCACCTACTGATGCTGATGCACCTAACAATCATTCTGCATTGATGTGTATGAAATAATGCTAAAGTTATGAAGAAGCTACCGCTGAGCTGTGGCACATGATTTTAAGAAGAAGACAGTGCTTCTGAAGGAAGCTGTAGGCACACTTTTGCTTGTTGCAATTAATAACAATACAAAAATACTGCTTGTTGGACAGGTGTATGTCTACAGTAATTTACTTTCCCTGTAGTAAGTTTGTTAAAAGCCTGCCCCAGGTAAGCAAAATCCATAGTTTGTATCTGCAGCCAGACAATGATTTATCAGTACTTAATAACCATGGTTACCTTCCTTGAATTCCTAGAGAGACTCACTATTCATTCAGTAAGATCAATGGTTGTCCTGGTATAGGATTATAATTTTAGAGTAGATGCTTATTCTAGTTGCAAACTTGTTAACTTTATAGTAAGAATATGACCTTACATGTATGTAAAGGCTGAGGTTCCCTGACTGGTTCTACCAGTGCAGGTGTATTTACATCTGGAGGTGCTTTATATCTGTTTGTTCTGTACATTTTGGCAGCTGAATCGCAGCGACAGCGACAGCTCCACGCTGGCCAAGAAATCTCTGTTTGTGAGAAACGCCACAGAACGACGGAGCCTGAGAGTTAAACGGGTATGTGCTGTTACCTGCACATGGTTTGCAGTGAACTATGGGGACACTGGGAATATCAAATGGCATAGAGGATACCCTTTATTTCAAGTATTTCAGCAAAAGCAGCACAAGTACCATGATTCTGTCCTGTAGTTTCATATTGAAATATCAACATATTGGTCTCAGTCCAATGTCAGCTCCCCTCCAACAAAGCCTGTGTTGTTTTAGTCGTGGCTGAAGCCAGCAGGGAGACACTGATGCTCAGCATCATGCCATTTCTTGTTGAACTTAAGTTACTGTCAAAAGGGATCTGTGTTAAAGAATGTGACACAAGGTGGCCTATGCTGCACAAAAGTCAGCACCAGCAGTATACATCTTGAGAAAATTTTGTGGAGATTTCAAGGATTTAGATGCCCTTTTAAAGGGAATTGACGCTCCATCAAAAGTATTCAAGTAGCAAAAGGATTGAAGGACAAGAGAGCAAGAGTCTCTCTTGCATGAAATTCATTCTTACATGAATTAAGAGAGTTATATTTTAATCTTAATTGTAACTAGAAAAATAGTCCTTTAGAAGCCTTGTTACCAGGAAGCAGGATACATTTTGTATAAGAAAGAAAAGTCTGGGATACTGAATAGTCCGAGATGGCTTCTCCTGCCTGACTTACTCATGCAGAAAGTCACAGTGAAAGGACAGTAAATAATGTGAAATATGCTGAAGAAGTGCATGTTTACAGAGTTTGTAACATTATGTGTTCAGTTAGGCCTTGAAAAGGCAAATATTTACAAAAATAAATAATGTAGTTGACATCTGTAGGGAATTCTGTGTAGTGTTCGGTCTCCCAGCAGTGTCATCCCAGGGATCAGAATGGGTTTTTTGTTTTTAACCTTAAATATATCATGTGCACTTGGTTGGAGCATTTATTTTTAGCTAGCGACTACAGAAAAATTCCAGGATAGGTGAATTTTTTTATTTCAGAAAAAAAGACTGGTAAACCTCCTCTTTCCCCCCCCAGAATATCTGAGCTTTTCTGACTGCAGTATGTCAAGCTCTCCACCAGCCTCTCTAGGTATTAATTGTTACTGTTCTGTCTCCCAAACGACTCAGCCCATGCTGCGGAGAGCTGCGCAAGAGTGCCCTGCACGCACTTCCCTGGACTTGGAGCTGGACCTCCAGGTGTCGCGCACGAGACAGAATCGTCTGAACGACGAGCTCCAGGCCTTAAGGGACCTGAAACAAAAGCTTGAGGAAATGAAAGGCAGAGGAGAGGCAGACCTTCCTCTGTGTTTGCTAGAGGATGAACGTTTCCAGAAACTCTTGAAACAAGCTGAAAAACAGGTATGAGCAGCATTCACATATATATAAGTATGCCTCTACCTTTGATATAAATTTGTTAAAGAATTTGCTCAATGATGTTAAAAGGTTTTCACAGAAGCTCACATTTGATTAATTACATCTCTGAATTACATAGTGTAAACTGTTTCTTTATTGATCAATACTACAACATTAAACGTAGAATTTGAGGTAACATTTTCCTAGTGCCCTCTAAATACTTTGATAAGTCACATTAGAAACTCTAGTATTTGGAGTAGTAGTTATGGTTGGTGTAGTAAAATAGCATTTACTTAAAACTTAATTTAGAATTCTCACATCCTAGCCATGCTTTTACATACTTGCATGTGCTTTCTGTCCCTCAGCATCAGTTGCTTTGCAGTCTGCACAGAACTTGTAGCCAAAAGATGCTTGTAACAGGTAGGACTTAGAGGAATTACCACTATTCAGAGTGGTAGGGGCATGGAGAAAAGGCAGTGGCTCATTTCTTCATGCAGGACATACTTGTTGTCGTTTTGGCAAAGGAAAGCCAAATGCTGTTTTCTACGTGATGGTCTCTCAAACAATACAAGTATATATGCACTGCCATAAGGTGGCATGTCCCCACATGATTAAAAGACAAGAAACAGAATAGAAGAATGAGATGCAACAGTGAGAAGTTAGAATGTGGAAAATTCCAACAAGATACATTAATAAGTTCGATGTTGTGGGGCTTTTATTATGTTTTTTGGGAGGTTGTTTGGAGATGGAGATCATCGACTGGAGTAGGTACCTGGAGAGGTTGTTGGAGGAGTTAAAAACCCAACCAAGTAAAAAAAGTAAAACAAACCCACACAACCTGCACAGCTGGAGGTATTCTAAACCTAACTGGTCAAGACCCTGACTACTTTGGTATCATCTACTGTGAGCAGGAGGTTGGAGTAGACACCTTCTGGAGCCCCCTTCCCATCCATCTGTAAATGTCCATCAGTTTTCAATGAGGGGAGGTTGTGAGTGACAGCCAGGAAGGATCTGTGCTCCTTAGCTCTTTATGGTTGATAGAGACTTGAGCTTTGATACACCAGGTTATTCAGAGTTGTAAAAATGGAACATTTTAACAAGGTGCAGAGGCCCTCCTCATATGTAAGCAATAGTTGTTTGTTTTGTTGTTTTTTAAAGCTAAATGTCAGTAAATAGCCTTGTGTAGAAGAGGAAAGGATGATCCTAATATTTACATTTACAAAGCTGAGCTCTTTGTTAGGAAATGTTAGGAATGAGGTACTCCACAAATGAGAGACAAAACATAAACAAAAACATCACAGGATCAGCAGATGTCAAAAAGCAAATATGACAGGAATTGCTAAGAAAAATACTTGGAACAAAACATATCATTGCCTTAAGGTCTAAATATTATTATGCCTGTACCATAAACATAGTTCATTTTTGGTTTCCCTTTTCAAAGAGGATGATAAAATTGCAGAGAGTCAACAAGGAGGATGGTCAAGGGAGGAAACAATTTCTGTGTAAGGAACAGCTAAGTAGCTACAACTGAAGTCCATGCAACCATGAGTGAGGTGGAAGAGAGCAATTAATCATGGTCTTGTATTCACTGAGAAGTAGAAAATTGAACAGGTGGCAGGTAAAATGCAAGCAAACATAGCATGACATTCAAAAACTGTAAAAATGTTTTCAATAAAACATTGAATGCTGCAAATTTCAAAAAATTAGGTTCAAAAAATTATTAATTTATGGATTGGCCAAATTCACAGTAGAAAAATGCATGTAATGGCACCACATATTTCCTTAAGTCCTTGACTGATACCTTAGGAAATAAAACTTCTCCCCAGCATGCTCTCCCAATTCTACATTTATGTCCTGTTGTGTCTTCTGGTCCCACTTTTTGGTATCTACTGTTGGTTATAGTTAGTGTAGTACTACAATTACTATAAAACACTAGCAGAGTTTAGGGTAAACATTGATGAGTGTTCTGAAAAACACTGGGCAAAATGGGGGAAGATAGTGTAGTGTTTAAACTTAGTGTAACTGTATTGGTTTTTTACCGTTATATTCATTTGATCCAAGTTTTAACTCATAAAAATAGTAACTTATAGAAAAGAAGCATAGCTAAATTTATGTGGAATTTAATAGTTTATATCTAATACTGGATGCAGGACAGAAATTATATTTTCTGAGTGTTTAATTTAAAACTACTCCCATTCTAAAACTGTTCCCTCTAGAACAGAGTATGCCTCTGCAACATTTCATATTATGAATCCTTTGGATTTGTGCTTTATTTCAGCTGGCTCTTCCAAGGCAGGAGGTAGGTTTGTCACATTTTTATGGTTCGTGTCAGTGATCAACATCATTACACTCACTGGTGAACAATAAGGGTAATAATACACATTCCTAAAATATATGCAGGCAGTAGCACAGCATTTAAGTCCTCCTTCCCAAGGTAAAAGTCAGAACAGTGATCACGGTCACTCCACCTCTTTGAAGAGTGCTTACAAAGTTTCTAGAAATATTTCTACCCTTAAAATCACTGCAGCCTTCCCCTGCGGAGCAAAACAACCCTGAGAGCGCTGTACTGTGTTGTCAGTGTTTCCCCTTGGGTTAGCAAAACACAGCAGCCTAGAGAACATTGTCATAGATTATTTCTTAGATCCTGCAGGCATTATAATGGCACAGACTAATGCAGCAGCTGGAAACACCAGAGAAATTGAGAGAGTCTCGAGTGAAAAATGAAACCACTGATGTGGGGGATGTTAAAAATCAGTGGCTGCTTGCTAGCACGCAGTTAGTTACTCTGCTTGAAGCCAGATCCACAGACTCCATACCTTCCCTCTCATTCCTTCCACCCCTCCCTAAGTGCAGCAAGTATGTAATGCCCACTAATACCTGCAGATCAGAAAACAGAGATAATTCTTTGCACCAGAAGCATTTTCTCTTGCTTAGATTGGATATTTGTGAGAAATCATACAGGGTTTCAAAGTTTGAGTCCTAAATACTCATACAAGTAAGTTTACAGACACCTAGTGTCCTCTAAATACTATTGCTGTTTATATCCAAAAAAGATTCTTGTAAATATCTTCTTTATTTCTTTTTAGTACATCATTTATGTTGAGGGAATATGTAACTATGTCATTAATACCAATATTTTGGTATTTGTGTCTTTGTCCCAATGATTTGGTGTTTAGCACAGTTAGTTTTTCTTTGGATTCTGTTTTTTCTATATAAAACCCACAGAAGAACAAGACAGGAAATAGCATTTCAGCTCTAATTTTGATAGTGGTTCTTCTTTGTCATCTTAAACTAACTTAAGCTTAAGCTAATCCCAGATAGAGGGATTCCTATCTGACACTTACATTTGGTAGATAAGTGTTGTGAATGAGTGTTTTCAGGTCACTTAAAGAATCTGAGATCATACTGTTGCCAGGGTGGGGGCAGGGGGTACATCACAAAATGTGCCAGATTTTAGGACTTATTGAATGTCTGGCCCTTGTATTAGTGTGATTTTCTGTATTTTATATAAAGCACTCAAAGAACATAATGTAAATATAAACATTATGGTTATGTACATACCTTCTCATATGCATATTACTAGCGACATTGGGCTGAAATCCAGGTTTCTCATAAAGCATACTTAAAAAATAAATGGATTCAAAAATGAAAAAAGGATATATGGTAATAGAGAGTATGAAAACAAGTCATCTATGCTCTTAAACATGAAATGCTGTAATCACAAGAATCTCATGTATAGTTAGGGAAGGATAAATTAGAAAATTTTGAAATATTTATGTTTAGTGCTTTGATGGTAAATATTAATTAGGGGAGCTGGTAAATCATATGACCAGTGACATACGTGAAATTAATTAGGACCTTACCAGTTGTAGATTGCAAATTTATGTTCACTAACTAATAAAGAAAACAATACTTATAGATTAATTTCTTTTTAAAATCAAAGCTATTTTGGAGTTGGGGACTGAAGAAGTTAACAGCAGTACAAGCTGACTGAATTTTGAGTGAGTTTTTTGAAAGGGTGGTTGTCTTTCATGTAAAACACTTTCATATAGAAACCAGAGTGCGTTTCAACAGACAGAGGGTACCACTATCCTGCTGTGAGCAGCTTTCTTATAACTACCCAGTATGAAACTGATAGTGTGGACTAGCTCTTTTGAATTAGTTGGTTTTGTTGTTTAGGAGTCTACTGGGTTGAATTCAGAACTGGGACATGAACTTCTAAGTCACAAACTAGCTTTGAAGATTGCTGTTTCAGCCTTGCAAATGTGTTTTAATTTGAGGTAATGAACAGCATTTTCAAGTCTCTAAAGAATCAAAAATTAAAGTCTCTGCAACTTTATAGCTGTTTAAGAATGTGAACTGCTTCTATTGAATTTTAATGGCTGACAAAATTCAAAATACAATAAATAACATTTGTTTGACAGCCTCTGCAGTCTAGAAGAGCACTGCCCATGCCATGCACCCCAGATGTGATGTGGGCAAAAATGCATTTGTTACAGAACTCACCTGTGTAGGAATGGGGGTCATTTATCTAAGAATTTCAGGTGACTGCCCACCTAAAAAGAGTCACTGTTCAAATTATTGGATATTCAGAATATATATTGATTTATATATATTGATATTCAGAAACCCTTGATAAAGTTTTAAGGCCAAAGCACAGCTATTAATAGCAGTCTTGTTGCTAAAATGGTGGATGGCACAGCTGAAGCTGTCCTGTTGATGCTTAGTAAAGACATAAGTAATAGAGCTGGCAATATTGAGGTACAGAAATTCAGTCACTTACTGTGGGGTATATAGCTGCTCAGCGGTGCTCACAAAGGACCTTTGATCTCTTGTTACCACTGGTGTTCTGTTCACTTGCCTTGGCTTTTACATCTCTACAATGCAAATGAAAGAAGTGAGTCTCATGCAAAATCGGTACTATGTCATGACTAAAGTCATAAAAGTTCATGTTCCTTGCTAACACGGTCAACAAAACCTGAAAATGTGTTTTGAGAGCACGCCTTCCCTATTTTTTCTGTCCGTCACTTTAGAGTAGGTATAGGCAACTTTCCTGAGAGCTTTTGTCAGGAAATAGAAGTATTTTATATGGGAAGAGAATCAGTGGCTTGCAGTTCTAAAAAGATGCTTGGATAGATAACTTGTGCTCATACAATATTAGGTATCATCTAACTACAGCTCTAAGAAATATCAGAATTTACAAAACCTAGTAGCCACCTGTGATGGCACAGAACTTGCTCTATTTATTTTTTTAGGAAAAGCCCCATTGGTTTATTTCACAGCCATGGTTTAGGCTTGTGATGTCAGTCTTTTATCTTGCTGACCTTTTATATAGAGATTATTATAGATTCATTTAGGCTGGAAAAGACCTTTAATAGCATTAACAGTAAACATGACACTGCCAAGTGTTTTGCTCAACACAGAAGCATCTCTCATTTCTTTGAAATGAATAGTTGTTCATTATCAGCAAAATACAGTTGTTTTTCTTGATACAGGCTGAACAGTCAAAAGAAGAGCAGAAACAAGGTTTAAGTGCTGAGAAATTGATGAGGAAGGCTTCTAAGGATGTGTGCCGGCTACGGGAGCAGAGCCAGAAAGTGCCACTGCAGGTGCAGTCATTCAGGTATGGCCTGTTCTGCTTTTCATGCCTTTTTTAATGTAGTGAAGTAACATGAACTGTTTCTAGGTATAACCAGACATGCTCTGTAGTATTAGTAAAAAATCCACATGGCTTTGACTTGCCAGAAACATCACAGATTTCTAACATGGTTCTAAGTTGGAGTTTCAGAGTGCCAGGCTTCGGTGACCTGCTCATGTGGCAGTTCAGAGGTGGCAAGGAAGCTGAGTGGAGTGTCATACCCTGTGTGACATCTGCTGTAGGCAGGCACGGAGTGTCACACACTGTGTGACATCTGCTATAGGCAGCCACGTGTGTGGCTCTTGCTGTAGCTCACCTCACCCCCATCAGGTTGACTGTGGGCTTTTAAATCATGGGAGTTCTTCCAGTGATGGCAAGGGCCTGAAACAAATGGCCACTCAATGAGAAGTAGGACAGGATACAGCTGATCAGGAAACTTATTAACCACTACTTGTGCCTTGCTCAAGACTTAGTATTTAAGAAAGATCTTGAATCCCTCCTCTGTTTTGTTTCCCTTCTCTTTTTGGTTGTGAAGCAACCAATTACTTGAAGCAATTAATGAAGTGTTCTTGCTTAGCATAAGACAGAATGAGCACTATTTATCTTAAACCTTAATCCTCACTGGTCTAAATTCCTAAAAGACCGGCCAGTAAGTGGTAGGACTTGCAGCCTGGAGGCCACACTTAAATATAAAAAGAAATATACATCTATTGATTGAAAAATGCAATGTTTCAATGCTTGCTCTTGCACATAGAAACAGTACTGCAAGTTAATTTGGTTTGTTTTGTTAGTTACCACACATTTTTCGAGTTTGAATTTTGGATTCCTTTATAGGAAATTTAAGTCAGCTGCTGAGACTTCTTTCCCTTTTTTTAACCTTATTTTGTGAGCTGTTGGAGAAATCCAAAAGCAAGTAGGGGCCTGTGAGGCAGCATGTATTGCAAACCATAGCTGTAAGTGATGCAGAACCAAAGCAAGAGAGAAAGGAAAGGGGTTCCTCAGCTAAGATGTATTACAGCTGAGTAATTTATCTTCAGCTTGAAATTCAAAGCATCCTGAAGATTTCACTTTTTGTGCATATCTTGAGAAAGGGTTTTGGTCAGTGCTGGTCATTTAAGCATCATCACAGACTGCTGCCTAAATCTACAGGAATGTGTAATAGTGCCTAAAACCCATTCCCCTGCAAGAAGGATATCAAAAGGCCCTATTTTCCTTTATTTTCTAGTCACCACACAACTAAGAAGAGAAAGCCAGTTTAGGTTGATTTTGCTCTGAGCTACTGTTTTTCATGGAAACTCCAGCAAAAAACATGGTTTAGTCTTCTGGATAAATACTTACCTCTGGAGGCTGAATTGTGCATGCCCTGCTAGTTGGACTTGTTACAGTGCTGTGGCCTCAGACTAATCACAGAGAGTAATTTTTAAAGCTCTCAAGAAGAATGACTCTTCTGAGCTTTAATTTTTAAGCCCCCAATACTTCTCTGCTGCTTTTTAGTCTGCTGCTAGGCAATCCTGTGTAAACTTGTTATGCTTCAGTAATGTCTCAGTTCATAGGTGACAGAAAAGGTAACAGCACAGGGGAAGCAACTGGAGAATGGGTTGACAATTCTGCTTCTCTGAGTCTTGCCCAGACACGACTATTCCCTGCTTGGCCTTTTCCCACGTCAGGATAAAATGATTTATTTTGCCTTCTTATCCCCCTACTGAAAATATCATCATTGGAAATTCAGTGACTGGAACTACATTTCAGTCTTATCATTGCAGATATTAATGAAATACTGGTATTTTTTTCTCTTTCAAAACTGGAACTGCTTTTTACATAAATCTGCGTAAGAAGGTAATTGTGTCAGAATGCTACATTTGTTGTAAATAAATTTTGTGTATTTTCCAAACCTGCGTTTTAAAGAATTATGCTCTTACATAGCAACTCTACAGCAGATAACATTGAAGTCATGCCACAAATGGTAAAAAAAATCTCTTGTTTTCTTTTCTAATTTCAGGGAGAAGATAGCATACTTCACAAGAGCAAAGATCAGTATACCAGCCCTTCCAGCTGATGATGTATAATTATGCAGTTTCATTGAAGTGTTTTTTCCACTTGTTCATCTCTTTTCAGATGAGCTTTGTCGTTCCAGTGATGTGCTTTCAAAGATCTTCTATTTTACATTCACTATTGATATGTTTATTTGTAAAATATAGTGAACTGAATTGTTGTAAGCTTAAAAAAATGGCAAAAAAACCCAACAAACAGAAAACCAAAGTAGATTAATTTTGGTATGCTGATGCTGATTTTGTACAGTTTGTGTGTATCGCATCTGTGTTTTTATTTTGTAAAGATGGAACAAAGGAACAAAGGCAGTACACTAAGCATATATCCTGTTGAACTGCACTGTGTTGAGAAAAATTATGTTCAACAGACAATTGTTTATCTTTTCACTATTTTCATGTGAGCAGACTGTGAAAATGGCTGTTCTGCCATGCAATACTTTTGTACAAGAGTGTAACTTTTATAGTTTAAAGTTAACCACAAGCGTAAGCTCCTTTCCAAAACATCCAGGCTGCCTCACAACAGCTGCTGATTAGATTCATCATCCACGATGTAATTTTGTTTCTGAAAATAATTTTTTTCTGGTTTTGTTTTTTTAATACTTTGTAGGAAGATACAGAGTTCAGAGTTTAGTTTTGTGAATGTACAGTACTTTAACCTGCACTAAAAGGTTTCTTGTATCTGCGGGAGAGTGAGAAAGGCAAGGCAGACAAGTAACCCTAAAAACTTAACTTTGAGACTACCAAAAGGGGCAGCTGCTTTCTGAACAGGATGAATCAAATTCATAATACCACCATTGCAATTGGAAGAGTTATACCCACTGTGCTCTTAAAACAGAGAGTTTTTCTCTGTTAATCATTTGTCCAAGGGGGCTGTCTGATTGCCAGCTAGGAATAATGAAGGAGTGTGCTAGGTTTGCAGATCTGTGACGCAGCATGAAAGTATTTATACCAGAAAAAAATCTCTCACATGCTAACTCAGATAATAGAAGTCCTGTTGGTAAGGTAAACCATTTTCTGAAAAAGGTCCTTACTAAAAGGCTGCACAAATTTTGGTACAATAAATAACAGTTTTTAAAATATAGAATTGACCATGTATGCAGTTGGGGGTGCACATGTTTAATGAATAGATGTGAACAGCTTGTTTCAAATGTCTTGCGTGCTCCTTCCTAGCAGGCTGCTTCATCAGAAGGCAACTTGGATGCCTTCTGTTAGAAGTTCAGAACATTGGATGTTGGTGTTGAAGCAGTCCTGTCTTGGTAAAGCAGTTGGGGTCATCTTCTGTGGATACTGTGTAAGTAGGTGGATATTGCAGAGAACAGAAATATTTCATTTTCTACTTAGTATGTTGCACTCAGATGTATTTCATTCACTGGCTACAGCTTTCTTCCCCAAGCAACAAGCCACATTGCATGAACTTCATCTTTCAGAAATGTTATAATTACTTGCTGAGCAAATGGAAACAATATAACCACAATATGGTAGCAGCTGTCTTAGATTCAAAGTGACAATTCTGTAACGACAGGTCTGTGTAACACCCAAGGGTTTTCTTATGCACAAATACATCAGTTCACTGAAATATAAAGCCAAACATGCTATTTTGAGCAAGATGACTGATTCAACATCCTTTATGAATGCCCCATTTGTTTTTTGTGTCTTTGGTTTGAGATAACATTCATGTTTTAAAGGTCAATTAAAAAAAATCTGGAATTATTTAATGTAGAGGTGAAATGAAGGTTGACAGTTTCAACTTCTCAATTTGATTATATAAGGTGTTTGTAGAATGATGTTTAGAGGTCTACTTTATGATTTTTCTTTTTATTTATTTACAGTCTTATTTATGTTCTGTTTAATATAGTTCAGTTCTGGCCATGTAAGTATTTGTCATTAAGGATGCTATTGTGAAAAATACTTAAAAGTGTCTAAATTCTTGCCCAGTTAGGTGGTTTTTCTCAAATGTTGAATAATTTTCCAAAAAAAAAGTATTATTGTCTGATTTGTAAGCATATGGTGAAGTCAAAACCTGAGTATTGCTGGCTTTGGCTTACAAAACTCCTTTAAAAATGAGAGACAGACATATTCATGCTCTTCATTTTCCAGATTTGTAAAGTTGAACATTTTTATAGGCAGCTTTTAACAATTCTGGGTTTGGAGTTTGGGGTTTTTTACTAATTCAGTGTGGCACACTTGAAACACTCAATAGAATAAGCTAAAATATTACACACAAATAAAGTTCCATCGGTGTAAAGTGATAAATATTACTCTTGGAGTGAAATTTACCCTGCACAGCAGGATATAACGAATGTAATTAGTTCTATTTCCAGGTACCAATGTCAGTGCATTGAATATATCAAAAAGTAAATATTACTGGTACAAGAATATTTAGCCAAATGAGCAAAGTTTAGCAGAATTGTAATAGAACACAAATAATTTTAAGATTATTTTTCTTTTTACTATTGCTATGTTTATACTGTATTAAATATCAAATGCTCAGGACTGAACTAAATATTTAATCAGGTTATATTCTGAATGTGTTTCTGTTCTAATTTTGTCTGTAAGAGTATGCAAGTACATTACATAGATTAACTTGTCTCTGCACTTTTCATGTGTTTCAGTGATTGGAAAATACATTTTTTAACAAAGCTCTTTTCCAGACTAGTGTTTTATTTAGTTCTTTTATTGCTCTTCTCTCTATATATATTGTCTTTGCAGAAACAGATGGCTGCTACAGCTTTGTCAATGTAAAATCATGGCAATTTATAGAAAGTTCACATCAATCACTGACAGCTGTAAGGATAAGTTATATGGAAACTAATTCATATACTTCAGTTAGTTCTTTACATTCATGAAGGAAAAACTGCACCTGCAATGAACATGGCTGAGTCTCCTCCAGACAGCAGCTCATTATTGCCCAGAAATACTGGCTTTCCTTAGAGAGAGAGATTGGGCAGGGATAGAGGTGGTCATATTCTCTGTCTCTCACAATGGAGAATCTTGCATTACATTACATAATGTCTGAGAACATTTAGTTTCCTGTTACAGGCCCAGCAAACTTCATTTAAGCTTGAACTGCATTAGGTTTGTGTAGTGCATGGTGAACTGGTGATACAAACTCTTTATGACTTCAATTAATATTCTTTTGTAGAAAATACATAAAGCAGCCCCAGTAGGAGTTCTGCCATTTAAAATATGGTCAAGTCTCCATTCAGGCCTAGAGATTAAAAATTTTATACTCACTCCTCCAAGTCATACCACAAAAACAAAATCTGCCATTTATCAGACTTGGGAGAAATACAGTGGTGGCTTAAATTGCCATAGCTCATCAATTCATGTCATTAAAAGTGGAAGTAAGTAGTGATTAAAGGAACTACTCGGTAAGAAAGAATCCCACCCCCGCTCCTGTAAACAGTAACCTGTCTGTTCAGCAAGTCTTTGTCTCCTACTGTACTGCAAGCAAGATGTTAGAAAACCTACCCTGCCCTTTTTTAAGTCTTCCATTTCCAGTTTCCAGATGTTGATGGGCATCTTGTACATCTGCCATTGGATACTGCTCTCGTAAGTGACGGTCAGGTGATAAACAGATTGTGAAGAGGAGTAGAGATCTCCCTAGAATTAGAATAAATCCACAAATTCCTATCTGGGCATCCCCTAATTCTGATCTGGGCAGAATCTCTGGGATGCCACTATTCCAAATCTCCTGGATTACAGTGTAAACTAGGGACAGGGTCTCCAGACTTCACCTGGAGTATTCTTCCAAGTAGTAACAGGTTTTTTTATCTTCTGCACTGTATCCTCCATCTTTAGACAGTGCAAACCAGGACTGGAGATCACAAGGCTCAGAAGTCCTAGTCCATTCTATGTAGCTACTAAAATCATGGAAATCTTGAATTCTAGGAAAGAATAAAAATCTCTACACTGTGTTCCTACATCATTTGCCAGAGTCCCATGCTCCAAAGCTCTCGTGCGTTTATGTCTCGTGCGAGATTTTTCCAGCCTGGTAAGTAGATACAGGTATCAGTTAAAATCCTTCCTAGCACAGATATCAGAAATCCAGCTAACAGTAGCCTGTGCCTGCTTGCCAAGTTCATTTTTTGCAATCACAGAAGCCCAAAACCATTGGCTTTTGCAGGCACTGTTCAGCTCAGTTCTTTGTCATACTCTGTCATAAATAAGCACAAGTTAAAACAATGCTCTATGAAGTATGAACTACTTCTCCCCTCCCTCCTGCTTTGCCTGGTTCCACATGCAGTGTTTGGGGGACTGGGACATGGTGTGGTAAAGCAGTAGGAGAATGGTGTGGCCACAGTTGGGCTCACTTTTCATTAGTCTTTTGTTTGATTTTTTTAAGAAAAGCATATACTTGGTTTTTCATCAATCAGCTAAAGCATTACAGCAATTTTGCTGATTTTGGCATCGCAGTTTGTTTTTAAGTTCTATCATCACATTGATGCACTTTCACTTAGAGCAAATGATACTGTCTGCTTTGTGGCTAGTTAAATGCTATATGTTTAATGTCAAATATACAGCAACATGTTCCAAGCATGAGTGAATGGAACTTAAGGGACCTCAGACAGGATGCATAATGACTCAAGACCTGTGTCAGAGGAAGATAGCTACACTGGTTTTTAAAGAGGCATTTCTCAGCCTATTTTTGGTGCATAAAGTATGCAGGTGCCAGAAACACTTAGAATAACTTGTATGGGCAGTTTAATGTGGCAGACTGGAAGAACACAGCTTGCTGGGTCTAAGCACCCACACCATCACACCCCATGCACAAAAAGACAGTTGCAAAGCTTGCTACAATTTCAGAAACCTACTATTTCCAAATACACAGAAAAACCATTTTATGCAATGCAGGTATTCAGACTGTTTAGGATCAGCTATTTCCTCTAAGTTCATATGTCACTGCATCAGTCAAGTGGAAAATTGCATCAGGGAGTCAAACTTTGTGGCTTATTTCACTGGTTACATAAAAAAGAAAGCGCATTTTGGTTAAAATCCAAGATGTAAGAGAACATGCATATTCATTTTCAGGATTTTACACTGCAGTTAAGAAAGCAAAAACACCTTTTGCATGCAGTCTGTGAACACCTCAGCATTTTGCTGCGAAACAGTTTTAAGCAGTTCCACAGGTGAGAAAACATACCACCTTCCAATACCAGTTTATGGAGAAAAC